AAACTTTGAAATTGTGGGAAAAGTAGGAAATTCGAAATGAGTCATTTTTAGCTTTTCTTCCCAGCTGCACAAAGTACTAAAGTACATGTAATTCTTGGGAGATAACTGTACCAGTGCTCCTAAGCAAACACTTCAGAACCTAATCTGTTTGGGTAAGATGAGTAATTTCACAACTTCAAATCATCCACTAAGCAAATTTCCTGTTTAAACTGATGTCCAACAGGGAAGTAACCATTTATGTGGGTGAATAAAGACATGCGCATTGACCACATCAGTCAATGCCAAAAGCCGGAACTTGAGAGTGTATTGCAGAGTAAGCACTTGGCCATTTCCTGAGCGATGGACAGACAATGCAATTGCGAGATCCTAGCACTTTGAATCACAGAGAAAAAGTTGCTATGAAAATAAGTCCTTCTTGGAATGAATGACCTATCTACAAAACAAAGGAATTAATTTCCACGTGGTGCAACAGTGGAGCGTGGAACATGTACAGTGTAGTAGGTAGGCTTGAATGATTAAGATAGATGGGTGCCACACTGGGTCAAGGGTGCATGCTTTTCTTGTTCACTTATGTTCATGTACATGAATGACTGCTGTGAGTTTAGGGGTTGCAGGGAAGGCCGACATGCAGGCTGGTTTCAACAGACCTGTAACACTGATTCATTTTCGTATCATTTTCATCATGCTCTTCGGTGGCAGTACCAAATGTGCTTCGTAAGAAAAGTGCCTAAAATGACCGAATGATCAAGTAATTGTTTTGAAATACATGTATATGTACATGTACATCCAAGCCTCGTTCATATTTACAAATTGAAAAATCTGATCAGATCTTGAGACTCTGACGGTAAAAATAAATTCACTTGTGATTTGACAGAGACTACAAAACACATGCATGACTTGTAGGGCTGCAAGAACTATGGCTGAAAGAATGACTCCAACATGATTTGTGACGCCCGTGTTCCTTGTTTACAATGTTCCTATGCATGAAAAAATTTATTATTGGCAATAATGGTTTTTAATTTCATGTGACAACTGACAACAATGCTCAGTTTAATGCAAATTTCACATAAACTGGAAAGTTATACAGCTTTGGACAATGGACATCTCAACTTAGGACACAAGATGGCTTCTAAATGCACAGGGATACTCATAGACTTTATGCACTCATGTTGTGCCCACATTTGGACACCAGGGCCGTTTTCCAATACTCAACTCCGGTTCCGTCTCAGGCTTCACCTGTTTTTAACTAGCTGACTTTGAAGCTGTAAGCGCAGTAATTAGTCTAATAGTGCCACAAAACATCAAATAAGATGCAAGAAAGCCAGAAATTACAGTAATCCAATTTAATTTAAACGCTTCAGGCCCACAATCGGGGATTGGTTTTGGAAACGAAGCCTGAGACGGAGCCCAAGTCGAGTATTGGAAAAGGGCCTAGTGCTAAAATTCTCTCACTATACATTTAGAGTATGACTCGTAACTACTTTTTGCATTAGGTCATGAGGATGTTCATGTACAAATGTGGCTGTCTTGGTTCCGAGATAAGTCACACACATGTACTTCATACAACTGTCCCACAAAAACAATAGCATACATGTAGCTCAATTACAGGAAAACCACAGAAACCGACGTCCCGGAACCCTTAACCCTACCATGCACCAATCAGACACTCTGGCTATCAGGAAAAAAAGTTTCACTGATCATTCGGTAATAACAGGTGTAAAATCCATGTTGTCAAATCCTGGGGATTTTTTTTCAAAGAGATAAACTCTAATCTGCACTTTGGGGGAAAAAAACACTGCAGTATTCTTTCAGAGACATGAACACAGAATTGGAGAGAAATATCAGTCAAATGGAGTATACTCATAAAGTTTTATGACTTGCATTTTCATTTGCCATTTTATTGTTTTATGGATTTTTCAAAACAAATATGTAGGAGAAACTGACTGGCAGAGAACAGGTGCAATTCATTGCTTATTACTCTAGACCACCTCCTGCCGTGAAAAATAACCTCTTCAAAAAATATCACTGTTTCCCCTTGGGATGAAATAAAATCAAGCCCGACATGTACACGCAGGAACCTGAAGATATGTATAATACCTTTGTCTACCACATCAGCACTTAGATTTGTGTACTTATGTAAACCGTTTCTGCCAGGGCTACTGACATTGTGACAGATATCAAGTTACAACCGGGTACTTTTTGACTGTGAATAAGAATCAGAGCGCAGCAGGATTCAAGGCCAAAAAACGGTGGGGTTGGCAGAGTTTTAGGAATTCACCTGTTTTTAGGACCCTTTGTTCAGAAACTTTCCAACGCTCAGATTAGATTTGACAGCTCTTGGAAATTTGGGTAACCAATCGCAAAATTCATGGGACTGACTTCCACTAAAAAGTAAAAGACATTTCTAGGTCAAAAACTAGTCAAAACTATTCTTGAAGATGCTACTTTCAGAAAGATCCTGGTAGTCTTGGGGGTTTCTTACCAAGTTTTTCTGAAAGTTTTCAACATTTACACGATTCTTGAACATTTATCTCAAAAGGGAACTTCTTGAAGCAGAAAGAATCATGTCTATATCCCCCAACCCAGAATTCCTATGGATTTTTTAGAGCGTTTATATGCCATTTATGTTTCATATTACAAAATTCCATGAAAAACTAAAATGCATGTAACACTCGGGTAAAACAATCTTGTACATGTACACATGCAATTGTGAGCTCATCTCTCGACTCCTTTGTTTTTGCTTCGTAACTTCATCCTTTGACTTTGGGACAGACACAACAGTGGGCAAATCCTGACATACAGAGGGTACCCTACCGTTCTACAGTGTACTTCCTGGAAACAAATCAAACTCGGCTTATCTGAGGCAAGCACACTGCTCTTATCTCTCAAACAAAGCTGGACTTGAATGTGATTCTTTTCAAAGGAAGTGGACCAGTTGGAACACAAGTGTACTTTTCCTCATTCAAGTTAACTGTCTATTACATGTAAATATACGTCAGGTGTACACAATACCGGTAGACCGCAGCAATATTTCCAATTCAAATTTTCAACATATTTGGAAAAATCAGACGTTCACTTACTTTTGGGTGTCTTCCTTTGACATGTTGCCAATTTGGTGTTTCTTGAACCTGCACGGTGTACAAAGAGAAGAGAATTACGTGGATACTCAAATATGCAGAGACCAAACCCACAATATGGATGAAAGCTTGCCTGGACTAGTTTGGAGTTACACGAGTTTAAAAAAATCACTGCGAGGAACCTTGCTGAATTCCACAAAATCTGTCACTGTTCAAATATCATTAGCATTTTCTTTGCAATTTAATTTATTAAATATTTGAGCTAGAATGATGCCTAAAAGAAAATATTGACTAAAGGCTTAAGCTGTTCATTGCATGGCACATTACAGTAACATGCCAAGCCGTGGCCACAAGATACATGATTTAGGCAAAGATTATCTAGCACCTCTATCTTGTCAATTTATGAAGGTCTGGTAGGTACAGTTGTAGACACTAATGTCAATTGTTTATTGGCTATGGCTATGTACTGTGGCTTGCTAACACTAAAAACTCATAGCCACAGCCTCAAGGAAACCTATTTGAGTGTGGACTCACCTGTCCAGTAAGATCTGGAGCACCTCCATCTGGTTAGTGAAGGTCTGGTAGGTGCAGAAGAAGACGTTGATGTAGCTGGAGTCCATCTCCTGCAGGGCCAGTGGTAGGTTCTCCACCAGCCGTTCAACGCTGGCCGCTTTGATCATCTGCACCTTGACCGTCTCCCATTCCAGGCCCGAGTTCTGCTCAGCGGTCCCCTGTCAGGAGAAGAAAAAAAAAACGGAATATTTTACACTTCTAAAAATCTACAAATTTGGAGTCTGATTACTCAAATCTGGAAACTCCTGAAAAATTACTCTCCTGAGTCAAAGCACATTTCCAGAAGGATTTTGCTGCTTCAAGCCAAGTCTAATATACCGGTACCATACCAGTGTGTCCACAATGGCTAGCATTACTTTCTACAGCTACATACATGAACATGTAGAGTATGTACACCTACTGGATTTGTAGTATTCCAACATACTGTATACAATTAACTTTAATCTACGTGGGTAATTCCAGAAATTAGGGGTCCTTTTTTTGTGTCCCTGTCACATCTGACATATGATTTTGTAAGTTCAGAACACATTTTCTAATTTCCCAAAGAGTGATGAATTAATGCAAATTACCTGCCAAACAAAATAGTGATAGTTTAAAAATGAATTTTGGTGATCTTTCCCTGTCAAATAACAAAGGTCAGATGTAACAAAGACATGACAATGTCCCACTTTTGGACCCCTAATTTCTGGAATTACCCACATACAAATGTACTGCATGTTTATCATTTGTCTGTTTTTTTAAAACCCTGGATATCCTGATGAGTAACTAAGCATTGTTCTCTCTCGAGTCTGAGCTTTCAATGCCAGGAAATGATAGAAAAGGGAAGATCGGGCTTCGTACTTGTGGGAAAACCCAAATGATCGTATAGAGGCCGGAAAAGTCAATCTTCACATGTGCGAATGTACAATGCACATGTGTACTTGTTGGGATTTGAAGTGGAGTCACCTGAGGTGACAGGCTGGGAAAGTGCATCTAACCCTTCCCCTCTTCTACCCCTTGTCTCATTAACTCCTCAAGGCATTCACACTAGGAATCATTCTGAATCATCCCCAAAAATCCTCCACTGTGCATGCAGGAAACTATAGGCACACATTCTGCATTTTACAGCTTTCGAGGGGAATCAACGTGAGATCTGCTGGGTTCTACCTTCTCCAATCCTGCAAAATCCCTCGCCCCTCGAGCTTCCTGGAGCATCTGGACAGATCGTGGAGGATTAGAATTTAAATAGACCACAGTGTAAAATCACTGATGTGAACATGCAGGTGTACTGAAGCAAACAGCACAACCTGCACTGTACATGCTGGGCTTGCATACAGTGTAATTTATTCATAATATCGATACCAAGGAAACAAAAAATATAATCAAATTTCCTTGAATTATGAGCTCATTAACGTGACGCCTCACTGCTTATTAGATCACTGAGTGTGACCAACCAATGCAGGTAGAGCATTCCTTGAGCTCGTTACTAAAAGCTTTATTCAAGGCGACCCGCTAAGTTTTCTGCTGACGTGCACAAGATGATGAGACGGAAATCAAAGGTAATCCTGTTAGCTGGCCTGTAATGCTTGAATAATTGCCGAAAAACATCCATCTGTGCATGGCATGCACATCAGCGAAGTAGTTGATGACACTTGGTTTCAAGTTCATTTATTTTTTTTTATGCAACATAAAATAACTTAATTTTTAGACAGATTTTGTCAGCTGCTAACCATGATCAAGCCGACACAATTAATTGCAAATTGTGAGAAATATCGCGTTAAAAGACTTACATGTAACTGTTGTTCTTCCGAGTTTACATGATTTCAGGTCCCAAAGTCTAACACCCAAAATCAATACATGCGTCAAATGTGCAGGGCTCTATAGCGAACAATGCTAAATCCTAGCCAAATTTTAGCTATGCCCCAATGCACGTTTTACAACCTAAGTTTTTCTTGTGCAAAGCTGAGCACATTCTTTTCCTTACTCGTCTGCTCAAAATTTACAGACAAAGTTCGTGACATTTACCATTTGGCAACATTGTTGACTTACAGCAGGAATCCTGCATGACGCAGGGAACAAAAAGCTCTAGCAAAGCAGTCTGTTTACACAATAAATAAAATTATCTTCTTTTGTCCACTTTCACTTTGACATCCTGCCTCAACAAGACAATACATCTGGACCATTCTGTGCAAATACTGTGACAGCCTCTTCAGCAAAATTGACATTCTGAGTTCCCGCAAGTGGAGTAAGGCACAACTACATTGTACACAACATGTCTCCATAAATTTCTCCTTAATGTTTTCATACAGTAAGCATTTCTGTTCCACTCTGATGAAGAATAACAGACATAAGCATTGTCTTCAATGGCATCACGCCTTCAGGCAGGTACATGTAGCAAGGGTAGGTTTATTCCGTTAGATGTATATTCAACCACATCCTATCATTGTACATGTACCGGTAGGTAGACTCTGAGGCGCATTACAGTGGCTTTAGGAAAAATTCTTGCCACACAGCCAAGTTTGTTGTCTATTTTCACTGTCCTAGTTTAATATTTATCGTTGAATATGCTGTCCCAATTTTGCTTCTATCAGGGTCCTGGCTTGGTGTTCAAAATCTCCGTTCCATTCAGTCATTTCCTGCCCCACCCCTCCCACCCTTTGGCCACACCCTTTGACTTACCTCTTCCACGATGGAGGGCACCGAGTGCCTGTACCGGACCTTCTTGAGGTATACACTGTACACTGCATCATTCTCTTTATCCTCCTTCCAAAATTTCATCGCACCCTCCTGTAATAAAATCGATTACGAAAGGCACAAAGTTACGACGATTCCAGTACCAAAAATTCTGCCACACTCATTTGGAGCTTGCTCAGCAACCTCTCCCGTCTGGTGAACTGCACAAGTGCATTTGTAGATCTCTGCTCAAAATTGGTGTTAGAGACGCTGACCTTTCTCAGTGTGTAGAGTACATCTCTCTGCATGGATACGTACATGGAGAGCACCTCGTGATGCATGTACATTACAAATACACACTACATACTCCCCGTAGTCATGCACATGTATTTTAGATTATTAGAGACTCAATTTACCAGTACATGAAGGAACAGCTGTGGAAGACGTAACAGATCACCTATGGTACAGAGTAAACCGTGAACGCAGCAGGGCGTGCAATGTTCTTGTACATGCAGGTGCTTTTAATGTCTATTCGCAACTTATAAATTATAATATGACAAGCTGGTAAAACTGTTGGCAGCTGTCTTTTGCTCGCCTTTCTGCAAGTAATGTAATTGCTGCACGTTAGTATTGATTCCAAACGAGAGAGAAAGAGCTGTGAAAACTATGCATGCGCGTACCAGTGCAAACAAACTTTTACAGAATCACTTGCAGATCCACAGCACTTACAAAAGGGGTGGAGGTGTCCATCAGAATTTACAAAAGGGAGGTCACCCAAAATGGAGATGAGCTCGAATAATACTATGTACATGGGTAGGGTATGTATTTTTATTCCGAATTTCTGTTACATTATCATTTAAGGACAAATGAAGCAGTGAGCAGAAGCAAAAGTGTGTCTTCCTGAAAAAGTTTTCAAAACTAAAAAAAATTTCAAAACCACTGAAAAGTAAGGGTGCACTCCTTTGAATTCAATACTGACCTGGATGGGCTGTCTAATCCTACAAGCACATGTACTGGTATACACGTGCAAGATTAGCAAGATGAATGACAACGGTCAATCATTACGATGCTGGGCAGTCCACAACTTAATTGATACTTAACCTAGACGGTCTAGAAAGTTCATCTTCAAGTTACACATATCACAAGTGATGTATCACCATGCCTCCACCTACAGCCAACAAAGAAAGACCTATGGACTCCTACACGGTCCGCAGCTCTGGACCTTGGAGTCTGCTGCAGCGAGCAACAGTGTGGAGATCTCGCTTTTGGAGGGATCACGAAAAACTGGGTCAGTTTTAATACTTGATATCAGGATAGAGCTTAAGCCCTCAGGTACATGTACGATAAACCTTGATAACTATCAGCTGCTGGCCTTGGGTTGGCTAAAAACTAAAAACGAACAATTGCAGGGACACAGGTCATCAATCTAAATAGCAGGGCCTACCTGTTATAAAAAGCAGCTTGGACAAACAAGGATTACAGTAAAACTCTGATGCAACCTCAGCAGCCAAAAATTCAGTAAACGTAAGGGATCAACACTGTTTTTGTTAGCAAATACACCTTAACCCTGTGTATACAAGTGTACAGGTAGTTGTGTAACTCTGGACTAAGGTAAAAAATGATGTCCTTCATGACTCCTTCCTTAAGGAGAAATCTGAAGCTGCACACTCGTATTTTCTTTCCCTGAATTTGCATCTTTTGAGTCCTTTCATATTTGTAATTATTCCTTTTACACTGAGTTATTTTCAGGTCTCTCTATGGGTGGTTTTCATGGGGGAAAATGTGCTATGGCTATTCACTTACATTGTACCTTAATTACAAAGTACGAACAAACTTGTTTCAGAGGGCATTGCCATGGTAAAAATAAACATGGAGACAACTGATTAGATATAATGAAAAGGCTGTTGGCAAAAATGTGAGGGCCTTCCATTCATTTCTCTGATCCGATGTTACCGCTTTGACAAAGGATGGGTGCTCAATAAAAAAAGCATGCAAGAATACAGCTACATGTACTCGACGCTTCTAGTTTTTTTTTTTTTTGTATTTTTTTTCAGCCACAAGGCATTGCGTATGTGTAGTCTTTTGCATTTCTGTTATTAAACTAAAAGTCTGGGCAGCAAATCCAGGCCATGCAAGTTTTTGCCGACATGGAAACAAATCAACACAAAACCTTTGCTTACATACCATGAAATGACCTACATGTACATGTACAGTAAATGTATCTTGTAGCTCTGCCTATTTTCACTGTGACCATGGTGACCATGCCTCCTCAATTAATAAACACTGTACATATATGTACACTGGTACATGTACATGTAGCATTACTTTTATGATTCGCCAATAAACTACAAACGAGTGATGCAAGACACTACTAAGGAGGAAGGCCATGATTACACAAAATAAAAATGTCCCGCCCCTCCATTATATCAGAATTTATGGGCACTGAATTTAGGGTAGAGCCATTACGCCATTACAACAAATGCCGAGGAAGGAAGGACGGATGCACTGAATGGCCATTATCTGCCCATCACTCGGAAATCCTATCCAGGGACGTTCATCGTATTTCAATTACCCAAGCATAGTTGACCGGCAAGATGAGCCCTCCGTGGATCTCGTTTTCCCATTTTGCAGTATCTGTACATTTGGCAGTGTGGACAGATGGCACTCTGTTCAACCATGTCTGTGGCCAATTACAGACTGCCTTGCCACAAACGGGAAAACTTCTCATGTTCGCATTTGAATTTCGTCCAGGAATTATCACATGTCTTTTTTTTTTTTTTTGGTCTGTTATGAAAATCGTACCTCCTCTGCAGCATTTTCGTTTTTTTTTTCTTTTTTTAACCGGGAATCTTTTGCTTGAAATTCCTGGAGCCTATTTGTAGAAGATTTAAAATGTGGGTCGGCATTCCGGGCAGGATATCAGGATGTGGGCACCAAGTGTAGGATATTTGGAGTTGCCGAGGCCTTCGGATGGCTTTGGTGTTTTTTTAAAGATATCTGTGAAGCAAGGATCCTGGCATTGACAAGCACATGTAGGGTATATATTTCCACCCACGTCCTTCCGCCATATCCTTTACAAGTCCAGGAAGTAAGAAAAACTCTGCATATTGCACATGAATACACTGTGTGCATGTGATATAAAACAGAGCAAAGGGGTGAGTCACATTAGCAGCGTTTCCAAAAGGTTATAAATTTCTACAAGAGTTACAACAAACAAAAACATGATACATGTACCTGTGACCAGGCAAAAGGCTGTAGTCTGAATAAAACAGTATACTGTGACTGCAAAAAGGGAAAAACAACGACGTTCTCACGTAGTTGTTTTTCCCTTTTTGCAGTCACAACAGAGATGAAATAAAGTCTACCATCACTTTTGACACTAAAATGGATTGATTTGCAGTTGAGAAAGACACACGAAGAACCGACTATGTAACCAATAACAAACAAACCAATTGGTCATTGACACAATGACCAACAAACAATCCAAATTAACTTACCAGGTGTCAAGCCAAAACTGATTCACTAACAAACCAACCAACCCAACACTACCCTAACAAAATCAACTTGCCAATATACTAGCCAACCCACGACTGACTGCTAACTAAAAAACTAACCACATCCATTTCACCCTACACATGTACATGTACATGAAAGTCTAAAAATGTCCACTAATTGTCCAAAAAAATGTTAAGAGTCTGGCTGCTAGGCAACCAATGCATGTCACAGTGGGTTCAACTCATCAACCCCAAACCATGACGAAGCAAGGTCCCTTCCAACACTGACAAGATTTTGTCCCAGATGAGCACTAAACAAATAGTCCTCCACCACTATCTAACATGCCTTTGTTATCGCGGCAGTAATGGTCCAGGTTTATCTTGTCAGGAATATGAACCCATGTTTGCTGGTGCCCAATCAAGAGTCCCATATGAAGGTGATGACAGGTACATATGTAGTTACCCAGATAAGCCCAAGTGTTGTTAACACAGTTTAGGGTTCACCCCTAGTGCTGGTACATTTGTATAGCGCTGGTTCACAGAGCTGCTAGAATTACTGTAGAAGTACATATACATGCACAAAGTTTATGAACTTGAGCAAGAGCACAGTTACCAGACACTAGGTAATGTGAAACCAAAGGGTCAAACATGGTGCAACATACATATTGGAATATTCTGTAGTTTCTACGCTGAGTTTTGAAACACTTCTAGTGGTAACATCTGTCCAACATGATTTGCGTAACAAACTACGGTACAAATATGGGACGACCTTTCTGATGTTTGCTAAAAACTATTCAAGGATTCTGCTAAAGTAAAAAAAAGGCTCTCTTTTTACATGTTTTTTGTCTTGCATATACCGATAAGTTGCTGTCAGCTGCACTGTTAATAGCTAACATACTAGTGCGTGTATATCCCATTTTAATATTGTTTTTCCTTACTGCATGTAGCTGTCTCGGCAAAAGCAATCAAAACTCAACTGTTAGTTTCTGTAGCTGTAATTCTACCAGGGCTATATTCTGTGTATCTGTCAGTGTGCTACATCATCTAAGCCAACAGGGTGTCAAACGGCTGGCGGTGCTGTCAAGGGTGCTTTCAAAAAAGACTATGACCACGGTCCAAAGTGACAAGGCTGTAAACTTGGCCAACTGTACGTGTACATTTACACAGGACCTTTGAACAGGCATGCGATCAACATTTGCACACTGAACGACCCATTTTCATGATTTACAACTGCCATCAAGTATAGCATGAACACAGCAATAACTTTGTAATAACTTGAAGTTGGACAAGCTCAACCAATCTCCTCTGCTTCACAGGGAAGTATGTGTAGTCAAGGGTGGAATTTTGGCAGCTACCTCCCCCTGTCATCTGACTACTGCCGCCAACACCCAAATATTTTATTTCTAAAATGTGATGCACACATTTGCAAAGTGTAGATTTTCCCCATGATTATAAGAACAAAAACAGTATACTCGCTGAACCCAAGCTTCAATTCTCGCTTAAATGATTTATTAGTTAATTTGTTAACCCTGTTGAAAGTGACTTTGGAAAACCTGCTGAGGGTGAAAAACTAAAAGGTATACAGCACTGTGGAAAAATAACCTTCCTTTGAACATGATGATGAAAAAACCCCTCCACTCATAAATTGATTTCCATACACGTCATATGTTGTTGCTTAAACAGTGACAAGGTCTTCATGTGTTGACATGAGCAGACATATTTTGAATAAAAAAAATTAAAATTCGAGACTTCTGGAAACCAATGGACACACTTTCCAAGAGTGAAATATTAACAGGATCTCACTCACCGAATTGGAACAGAGATTCAATTCAAACGTCAATTCAAGTTTTTCCAGCCCGAATGAGTACACCATAAAGATGGCTTTGGTAAACTACTGTAACTACACCAGTGATTTCAGAAAAGAGTTGCATATACCAGAATATAGTCCAAAATTTAAGCAATTTGCACGATGATGTCACTGGGCGGTAACCACGGTTTCGCTCTCTGCAGGTGTTCGAGACTAGGGCCAATAGTGCAGTGTGGGTCAGTTCAAATTACACAGTGTGTACAATCGATCAAGTCGAGGTACTGCACAGGCCTTCTGCCTCTGGTGAGTGCAAAAACTAATTTCTAATTAGACCTTTGAGAAACTGTGTGGAGGAATAATGGTGTACAAAAAGGACATCATTGTATCTTAATGAATCACATTGTTTATACTTTTTGTTAATAGAAAGAAAAGTATACAAAATTAGTGTCCAAATAGACTACTTTAGAAATTTACAAGATATATACTACATGACCGTTGGCCAGTTTACTTCCAAATACTAGCAACTGGGGAAAAGTAGTTTCCTATTATTCAACTTGTTAACTACCAAACATCTGTTTCCACTAGGGCTGAGTCAATTTAAATAATTCACTATTCGAATATTTGACCTTCAATTCAATCAAATATCCGAATATGCGGTCTTAAAAACCAGCAGATTGTTGATACAAAATCAGTTGCAATAATGCACACAGTTGTACATTATAATCACTATAATACCTTCTCACGTCTACGTATCTCCAACCAAGATTTAGCAAGATTTAAGAGATGAACAGTACTTCTTGCCCTGTTGAAAATTTCTCTTCCTTTTAAATTTTATAGCAATCGGAAGATTTGGGACTGTAAGGGGTGAATAATAATTTATTTTTTGAGTCGTATGATTTCTGTTGCTTAACATTTGAATCTGCGTGAAATAAGCCTCCATAATGCATTTTTTTTCATTTAAAACAAAAGAAAATTCTCCTTTCCTTTTCATGAATTTTGCATTCAAATATCCAAATTTGGAAACAATATTCGACTATTCAATAATCGATCAAATATTTGGATATTCAGCACAGCCCTAGTTTCTACCTGTCCATAAAACAATATAATGACATTCTGAAAGAAAAATGGAAACTTATGTAAATCAGTCTAGCATACTGTTAATTTTTACTAAAAACTGTACATGTCTGTACGCATGCAAGCCAAAAATTTAGGGGTCCTGCACTCTACAAGCCTGATGCTGGAAGTCAACCGTTGTTTTCTTGTGAAATACTCACTTTCTTCAACCATGACGCCCGGAATGCACGGGTGCTGTTCATTCGCATTTGTAACTCCCTCGAGAATTCCTCCTTGGATTGGTTCTGGCCCATTTCCCAGAAACCAACCCCTCCTGGCAAAAACTATTCCCAATGTCTCTCCGCAGAGTCAGTGAAGCAGGCAAAACAGTAATCCACAAATTTCTTTTGAAAAAGTTACATCATCCACTGGCCAGATCAAAACAAAGTACTGCATCCATCGTCATTTTTGTCGAGTGATGAAGGTTGGAAAGTTTGAGTAGACTCTGGAATGAGATTCGCACGCCAAATAGAAATTCATAGAAATTCTCTCAGGAAAAGAAATGATTTCCACTGTGACTAGAAAGCACATCGGCCTTTCGATGGTAGTATAACTCCTCGGACAGAAATGTACCGGAAAAATCACGCAGCACTAGAGGAAAAGTCGACATCAGCAAAGACTGTGGGATAAAGATCAGATCATTGGCAAACCAGCGACACATACAGGGATGACTCGACCTGGGAAATAACCACACATCTCCTTTCACTGGCTCAAACATGAACTGGGCCACCCGAGCTCCTGTATTGCACGTACTGTCCAAGCTGTGAGCCCAGTGACTGCACTCGGGGCCAATGAGGAAACAGGATCGGATCACGTGCCAGAAATGACTCTCATTTCCTCTCTCCCCCTTTCCATCCTGTAGGGTTGGAAACGCTGGTTGGGCAATCGGGCAGTCGGCGTGTCATGCTTTCATACCAACCCAGATTACGGCAGGATGCGACGCTGCGGCTAGGGCATCTGCACAAAAGGCAGGACGCTTTTCTCGGTGGCATTTTTATCAAATGCCTTTTTTCCATCATGAAGTCACAGTATTTCACGTACATGTACATTAATTTTTATAAAATCTCCCAAGATATATGTACAGCGTCTTCACAAAATGATGAATTTAGAACCTCTAATATTTATGATTTTAGTCCAAAGTAAAAAAGACTGCCCTTCAAAATCAAAACCAGAAAGATTACAAGCATGCATGGCCGGTATGAAAATTTGTGGCAGAACTGAAATTTTGGTGAACAAGTGGTGATTCCAACATCATGGTGCTTTAAATGCAACATATACATCTACATATCACATAATCTATTTAATTTTTACAATACAGATGTGTTTTCTTCATCTTACCAACTTGTTAAAATCGCATTATTGAAAGAAATGAGAAGAATGCAAGCAAACAGTGTACTCACCAAGCAATTAATTTATATAATCTTTTCCCTTGAGGCACTGTATAATAAACGGCTGTCTGAACCAGGAGTTTACACTGGTGAGCAGCGACCTAGAAATGTGTAGAGCCCTATTCACAAATGCCAGCACTTGGAGGGTATTGATCAGCCAGCGGTGAGCAAGGACACTCAGTGAAATCGACCCTACACACTGAAAGCCTAATCTATTGTGCCACCTTTATGTAGGGAATGCCAAATCATGTTCCCCTGACACGCCATCCTTGCCCAGGTTTGTAGTATTGATTTCTTGGAGAGCTTGTCATTCGGAGAAGCGCCAAGTGGAACACCTTGGACTTCGGGTGAACCCTTAATTACACAGAAGTAGAGCTGGGTCGCGCAAAAGAATCTTAAGTGTAATCAACAGGCACTGAATTTGATCTCCTTTTATGCACTCCTCAGCCCCCATCTCCTTTCATTCTTTACAAGAACTCTTGCAAACCTCATAAAATTTCACACTGTACGGAAATCTATTCCAATGATAAATGGCACTTTCACACTGGGGCATCAATATGCTCTGCATAGTAATAATGATGCTTGGACCATGAGTGCTAGACAGTCAAAATCTTTCAAAGCATAGGTCCCATTTTATCAAAGGGCTACGCACAGGTAATATTCCCTTAACAAAATATGGTTAATATACCGGTATGGTTACCAGCCAAGGTGCCATTTGGTGTGTACTTCTTGCAGCTGGTTCACTGCCAATTCTTACTGAAGGACACCCTAAAAAAATATTTGTTTGATACCCTAGCTCTGCATGTAAGTGGGGCCCTGCGGGCATTTGGTTTTGGGCAATCCACAGTAGCTAGGAGGGTTATTGTGTACAAACAGTCCTCAGTGCCAAGTTCCAGCCCTCTTGGCCTTGATCTCCAGTTCCACTGTTTGGCACTCCGCTCTGTTGTGCTTCAAAGCTCAGTAAATAAGTTTACATGTATAAGACACATTGTTTTCATTTCATGTTGTTGTTGTCCCAACCCTGGCACTGTGCACATGACGAGCATGAAGAGTATAGTATACATACATGTGCATCATAAAATGTAACAAATACAGCGTACAATAATACATGTCCATGTCCATACTATGTACAAATAATCTATCGTCTAAGCAACCAGCAGGCCATAGAAGTCCAAGGCAAACAACAAAACTATGGAACCTTTTCTCTGTGGTAAAAAAAGTCCTTGAAAATTCCCTGACCTCTTCAGGGACATGTACTAAAATAACCAGAGAGTATCCCACCCATTGCAACCTGTAATGCCAGGGGCAAACCCCAATTGAATCATAACATGGATCAGTGCACAAGCGCTCAGTGCATGTATGCACTGCTCAAGGTCAGCCAGTTAGCCTTTTCCATCTTTGCTACATGTGCTGGTGGATGCAAACAAATACCATACATGTAGGTCGGCATGTGCACTATGCACACGTTATACAGAAATAAAGTATGGCAAAGGCCACGCATGTAGGGCTTCTTAAAAAAGCACTTTAACATGTGCTGTGTAAGGAAAAAATCCGACAGCATTTAAGACTTTCTTCACTTGACCACATTTCATGCCTAAGATGGCACGTTGCCACATATCCTCTGAGAGTTGAAAGTCTGCTACAAGCATAATGAGTAACTTTGCAGATTTTTCCTTCCTTTAGAACGGCAGTGTCTTTAAATCAGCCAAGTGCGCCAATGTGCACACTACAAATATATGATTCTCATCACTGTTAAAAACTATCCAGCATAATGAACACATATTTTACTGCAAAGATAAAAACTCAAACAGAACTTAGCTCTGGAAATTCTTGTAACACAACTTTAAGACACAATGGTGCATGGTCACCCAGAACTGAGAGTTTTTACAGGACTTTTCACTCAAAATGCACCCATAGGGAAGCACACAGAGCAAGGCAAAATATGCATGACTGAGAACACCAGCAACATAGAGAGCAAATTAACTATCCACTTCAAACCATCATACATGTTTGGTATCGACTGACTTCAATGAAAGAAATCTTGATCAATGCTCTCAACAGTCAACAACCTTGGATACAATTGTGCGACACTAACGCTCACCTTCACACATTCGGCATATTCCCCCACCAAAGTGAAAGCTTTTAAATCGTAGAGCTTCCATGTTTATGATAACGCTGATGATCACGTCTTCCATTTTCTATTAAAAACTGCGCAGCCTGTTAATTTCATTTCAAACACGAGATTTGTCCTCCACTGCAAGGCACAGGCAGTATGCTCTAGTTGACATCAAATTCAAGCACGTACATGTATACTTGAACACGTAGATCATAAAGTAACGTGGGCTTGTTGCATTCTCTCAACACTGCTAAACCATAATCAAATTAAATGAAGGGTTCACTGCATTGTGGGAGTAGGTTGACATGTGAATTTTGCAAACAATCGTAACTCATCCACGCTTTCACAGCCATAGCTAATCTCACTCATTATATGTTATGTATACGTACACATACATGTACATACTTCCATTGAAGGTCCACCCAGGGTCTACAATACTACTACAGCCTGGCCTCTTACTATACCAGTCTATCATGCCTGACTGCTTTTGTTTAGATATTTTATTTCAGACAGGTCTGACATGTCTGATAGATTCCAAATTGAAGAGACTAAATACACTGCTAAATTTGACTTTTGGGGACATTTAATTGCTTCCAGATAGCTAATAAATACGAATCGCCACAGATAACGATGATATGGAATTCTTTCCCTACTTTAGTACTACTGGTCATGCTGGTGATGATGTAGCGTGTGGCGTTACCTCCATGACACGACTAACGCTGATTGGAACTCGGTCAGTGATCTAAAATTACCGACGGAAAATAACGCAGAAATCATCCACGTCATTTCTCACTAACCTGTTCCGTTGCTGCACTCATCTTGACTCTTTCATCCACCGGAATCCATCGTAGAAAAATCAAGGGAAGGTCGGTAACTCATTTAAAAGAAGGTTAAGGCAGGATGCGCTGCACCAGCAATTCCGCGGAACAACGAAGGTGGTGCTCCAATCCAACCAATGATGTTGTTGTCGCTGTGAACTACACATTGCAACGTGTAGTTGATCACAATACCATTGCCGGACAGGTAGGACACTCGGATATAATAAACCCCTTCCCATTCATTTTCCCACCCCCCGATAATCAATTCTGAAATACATTTTCAGGGTTCTCCAACTTATGATTTATTCGAGAAGATTCCTTTTTTCCTGAATTTGCCTACATGTTCATTTCAATTTCCTTGACCCCACTTCCGATATGGCTCCTTTTTCGAGAGAAGGGGGTTGCCTCTTTTTTGTAGTTTGTCTCCAAGTTGTAGCTGAAAATCAAACCCTCTTCCAAAACTGGAATCGGAGGTTCCTGTGGTGGGGATCCCCTCCCCTCAAATTTTAAATTTTGAAACGTACACAACTTATTTACAATCATTTTACAATTACATATTCAATAGTTAGAAAGAAAAAAATCTCGATGAATTGAAAAGCCACTATTTTTCCTTTTTCAAGATGACTAAGAATCACTTTTTTTCTCTCTCGTCGGGTAACGCTACAATTTGACGCGAACTACATGATAACGTCTTGTAAAAGTTTTACGCAGAAAAGAGGCGTTTCAAGTTCCAAACCCAGACGGACAGCAATACAGAAGCACACACCCTGGATAAGGATGTCCGACTGTTGGTGGGGGAGGTGTCGCAGTTTCCCGCGTCGTCGCTGTTGATTGATTGAAAGGACAGGTGCAACTTGATTTTCCACTGGAATCAGACATTTCCTGGAATGTTTATTTCGTATGGAATTTTTCTGGAAAAAATGCAGAAAGATACGAGGAAGTGTCGTCACAATGAATACATCCCCAGGAAATGTCCAAAATACAGATATTCTTAGAACGTTTATAATTGATAGCTCGTTTCCATACACTTGACTGTTTACAAAATTCTTTTTGCTATGTGGTCGCTGACATGCTGAACATTATCCTAAGATGATGCATTGACATAAATTTCTGAGTCAGGGTGTTCAAAATTCAAATTTTAATAGCATGGTTGCAAGTAACGATTTGAAAAAGAAAAACCTAACTTTTTAAATAGGATATTTCCAACTTGGGCATGAACAATTCAAAAATAGATTATTCATAAAGTTTTTTAGTAAACAAAACAAAAATACTCTTTTGTGAAATTTCACATAGGAAAACTCAAAACAAAATAATCTTTAAAAATTTTAATCTTGAAAAATCAAACAAAACGTCTTTTCAATTTTGTAAACCTGACAATGTTCAACAGAAACTCTAATTCAACAAATCAAATTGTATGGTGTAAGTTTTTAGGACACTGGATGCAAGGGCAGAGCCACAACCCAAATTTTGGGTGAAATTTTTTCTATGTAATTTTTTTATGGTCTTTCTGAGGGTTGAAGCTACATTTTGGTGCTTCTACTCGGTTTTGGAATGGAAACAGATTATTTTTAAATTACCTTTAACCCATTATTCCCCTCCAAAAAGTGGGGCTCATTTTGGGTGGCCATGGCCCCGTCTTGTCCAGACAAAGTAGTGACACTTGCCAGACAACAGAGGGCTCCTTACTGAATACACCTACTGGCTTGCCAAAAGCTTCATCAAGATGAACACACAATCGGAATGGACCAAATAGCTTAACGTGATTAAGAAGATTAATTTCAAAGGCTGTTCTCTAATCTCATTGTCCATCTTATTTATGTCAGCAGTCCAGAAAGAGTGACTTTTGATCAAATCAGAATCTCTCTCAGCAATTTATATCACGCCAGCATTTTGATATTTCTTCCAACAACTTTGTTTATCCCTGCTGCGGTTTTCAGCTGAAAATCCAGATAATCCACTGGACGAACCCCACAACAGTGGACCACAGCCCCTCCCGGGCTTTAATGACCCGGCGTATGTCAGGGTCAGAGTTCATGAAGAGGTCAACGATGTTGACCTTGAGGTCAGCCGGCCAGTGCTTGGGTTTTCCCTCGTCCAGGTTCAGCATGCACACTTCTCGAATCTGAGGAGAGACCAGATGAGAACACTGGCATTATGGGAGACATAATTACTAATTGGTTCTAGTCAATAGTTTCTTTTGCCAAACTTAGTAAGAACGCACATGATGTATAGGTTGAATCTTTAGAACAATTAACCCCATGAAGGAGTAACCAAGCCATTTCCTAGAAATGACCGCCAAAACACAGCCAAGAGATGATTAGTTGGCATTTTTGGAGTTGCAATTTAGTCTCCACAAGTCAGTCACAAGTCATTCGGTCCTACTCCAACTCACAAAGTATTTTAAAAAGCTATGAGACAGGCATTCCTTTGTGACTGCCCATCTCTTTAGTTCTGACCTGATTTGTGAACTGACTTACTAATTCACTTGTGGACTGACTTAAAACATTTAAACAGTTTTAAGATCCTAGCTTAAATCTGACATTTAGCTGTACCCTCAGTTATCTTACTTTTCTTTACTCTCTCCTCTATCTTGTATTTATAGCTGCATGTGGATATTATTGTGACAAATAAGGAACCAGACCATGAGCAACCGTTTGCTTTCTGCCTGGTATCCGTCATTTCATTACCCTTATAACTGTGCCTCATTATATTCTTATTGTGATGTGTGGAAATAAACCAACCAACTTGTGATTGACTCCTGGATGGCTTATTTCCAACTCTAGTGGGCAAAATTACAATCAGTGAGGGCAGCAGACTGTTAATATAGAGACAGTCACAGCACACAACTAGCATGTTATAAAAGCCATGTCCAAATCACTTGGCTATGGCTGAAATTAACCCAGTCCGCCTAAGATAGCCACTGGCTAGTGGCTGCAGCCATCTCCCATAGACTTGTGTGCCTTTGCAAGCCATAAGCAAGTAATTTGGGCATGGCTGAACAATGGACATACAAATGTTGTCAGACTGAACACTGTATCATATCTGTCTGCAGAGAGAAGGGCGACTTTCTTGGCTGACTGAAGCGGCACCTCAACCTATAAACAAACAAATGAATTAACAAACAAACAATCAGAAACCAAATGGCATGCATCCAGCATTCACTGTTTAGTATTCAAAACCAATTTAGTAATATTTCAGTGTTTGATCAGTGATTTATGCAAGCAAATGTCTCCAAAAAATTCTTTCAATTATATGGTGATTGAGACATAAGACTTATTTGTTCTGCTCCCAATACAAAATGAAATAGCTGCAATTTTCTACAATCATCTAAAGTTAATTATTCAAATTCTGACAACTTGTCTAACATTCTGTAAGTGCTATCAATTCGCGAGATTAGGAATCAAACCTCAAAGAACAATCAACAGACTTCCTGAAATCTAATACAGTCACTAGCACAAAGTAGATGAGCGAGTGAATGACCTCTGACCTCTTTGGAGTAGGCCTCCATGTTTTCTTGCCGCCTCTGCCCACACACGGCATGGATCAAACGCTGCAGCTGCATCAGGCAATCATCGTAGGCGGGCAAGGATGAGAAATCATCCTGAAAGAATGCCAAACCAAACAACAAATGCATTCCAAAATAAAACAGAATTTGTGATTAAAGTAAAACAGGTGACTTCAAAACACTACCCCCTCCATTTTCGAGAAGCGTGATAGATATAAATAGGCCAAACTATAAAATCAGCGAACGTTTGTCAACTTGCCTAGTGTGACAATGTGTTTTGCGCATAGGTTACAAGGCAACATTGAGGTTTAGCAGCAGTTATTAGCCAAACTAGGCCATTATGTGCTCTGATACATGTTTTTGTTTAGTTTGTGGATCAAGTTCTTGAATTCATTTGCCTTTCAGGTGCCACTTTTTGACTATTTAATTTTCATTTGTCCTATTTTCTTTCTCTGAGAAAATGTCTTGAGAGTTATTTTCAAGAAGTCTCGCTTCTATTTTAGGACATTCTCTCAAAAAACAGGAACAATACGGGTGTTTAACAATAGTGCGCCTCCAAGAGTTTGCAACGCGTTGGCCAATGACAACGTGCGAAATTTGTGATTGGCCTACGCATTACAAACTCTTGGGGGCACACTATTGTGAAACACCCGTATTCCTCGGAGGATTGTAGCTATTATTAAATCAAATAACCATTTTCAAGATCTCTGTGTTTAAATTTTACTCACCAGCAATTCCTTGAAGAGTGATTTTGCCCTGGTGGCTTCCTGAGTTAGCCTGCATAGAATGAGATATAAGGGCCTACAGCATGAGTCTTTAAACCAACCAAGTTTCACTTGAATTGCATATTTCCATTAGAGCAATGCATCTGAGCTGGGGCAGGGATGTGTCCAGTGGGGAAATGCTTTTTATTTTCCTTGTTCGGAATGAAATGGACAGGTCTTGAGGCTTGATACCTGTGGTCTAGATCGGTGTCGTTCACAGGAAGTGGTAGCTGTGTGCTGTCCGTGTTGTCTCGCATCGTCTGAGCGAGCCCATTCACCTATTTGAGATTCAAGAAAACAGGCACAAAACTGTGTAAAAAAATTTGACATAACGGCTTTCAATTGAGGATTATATCACATTGGGGATGGGGAAATAAGTGCCAGATCTTGGACGTTTTTTCATAGAATGATATACATATAATATCTTCAAACAACTTTTGTAAAAATTTAGAAATTGCGTGATTCTCTCACAAACCTCTTTTTCACATCTGACTTTCAGCAGCAGGTTGTTCCTTTTTTCATGCTCCTTCTCTGCTTCAACTATCCCTGTCTACAAAAAACCCAAAATCTTTAATTCCCAATTCTTCCTTCTTTGCCCATTTCCGAAGCGCGTTCTTACTTTCCTTCAACATTATTTATTTACAGACTTGTGAATTCCCTCATTGACTTCATTGTCAGGGTCAGAGTTCATGGTCATGGGTCATGACTTGTGACCAGGTCAGGGAGCTTCGCATCCAGCTGCTTGCCATAGGTCGTGTCCTTGGGCAAGCCACTTTACCCCTGCTTACGTCTCTCCACCCAGGAGTACAAATGGGTACTGTCATTAGCTGGTAGTAACCTGCGATGGACTGGTATTACATCGAGTGCAAAATGGAAATATTTTCCCAGTTGCTTCATGCCAAGGACACTGTCGATAAATGCTGACCTGATGAGCCATATTGGCTTAGAACAAGCTTGCTTGTTTATTCTCTGATCGCTAATAAAAATTTTCTTGAATGCTCCATCATTTTTTCTGCTACACAAAAAAAAAGTCACAAGGGTAAATAGTCATCACCTTTAGCAGAGCCTGATGGGCTTTGTACGAAGCCTCCTCCGCGGCCACGACCGCTTCTTGAACAAAGAGACTCAGCGCCTTCTGCGCGGCGTCCTCGCTGCATCGGGTCATGGTCTTGGGGCTGCGCGGCTCCTGGTGAGGGTTCTGCATCAGGCTATTAAACTCCTCTGCAAGAAGTAAATTCAGAATGACAGACTGTGTCAATAGTCTCTGCTAGTTCAAGGTCCTGACCAGAAGGCAGAAGTGAGGAGTTGGAGGGTAAGGGGTCCCATCCCTTCTGCCCGGCAAAATTTTGCGCCATTTTCAGACGTCATTTTTCGAAAAGTAAAAAAAGGAACATTTGAGGGAAATCCCATTTAATGCACAAGAGCAGCAGATATACATTTTCTGATTGAAAATACTTCAACTTTTTCAAAATGTATCATGATTTAATATTATAGTTCAACTTTTTCAAAAAGTATAATGGTTTAACATGCAGGCACTTAATCCAGCATCCTACACTGTAACTTCGATGCCCCTGTTCTTTGAATCATGTTTAAAAATGGAACACAAATGCTGCATTCTGGACTTCTGGTCAGCTGAATTTTGATTACCGAGTGCTCTCTGAGTCGATTGGTCCAACACATTCTCAAGGAGCTGGGTGTTCTTTAGCAGGAATGAGTCCCGGATGTTGTCCAAAGATGTCTGCAGGTCAGGTACAGCAAATTTCTCAGTCTTGGAAAACAACTGTGAACAGTCTGTTCAATCCTGATCATGGAAAAACTTCATGCGGCTTTTCAGCCTGCTAGGCCACTGAGGTGACCTTAGTTTCTCAGATATAAATCCTTTCAAATGTCATCCGCTCTACTGAAATGTAGCAAGGTTTTTGTTGCTTTGTGTCACCTCCGTTTCCAAAGCTTTTTCTTTTCTGCAATGAAAAAAATTCTAAAAAAAACTTTCTAAAAGTCTCTGTATTTGTCTCAAAACAGGGAATCCATTCATCTCAATTAAATAATTGACTTAAAAGTTCTATGAAATGAGTTTCCTTCAGAGCAAATTGAACCTGGATTTAGTGTATTCAAAGCTTTCATGCAAGGTTTGCACACTTTCCTATACCACATTTTAGGCTCGGTGTCTAAGCCTTCTAACAAATTAACCAGAACTGATGCTGTTCTGACCTTTAACTGGTCCAGGAATTTCTGGAAGGGCATGCTTCGCTGCAGCCGGTCCAGGGTCCTAGTGTAGCTACCGATGCAATCTTCCTTGATCTTGGCGTAGCTGGTCTTGAGCTCAGATGTCCGCACGGGTAACGGAAGCTCACTCAGTCTGCTCTCTCCATCTAACTGCAGGTGAATGAATTATGCCTTTATCTTCTGAAAAGGCAAAATCTAACCCAACAAATCTCTGCAAAATCTTCTTTTATTAGCCTCAACTATCTGATTTTCCAATAAGAAAGAAAAAATTTAGTTTCTTTCAAGGATCACCGAGATGTCTTTCTGGTATTGATCATTTTCCTATTCCTCTTACAGAAGGCGGCCTAGGTTTTCTACTTCTTCAGGGAAAATAAGCACATCCCACCATCCAGCACCCAGTGTGTCCCAGCAAACATGGGTTACTTGCACAGAAAAGTCACCAAGAACTGTTTGCCTTTCGACGGGACTGTCCTCCACTCACCTCTGTCCTGTGCTGGACCTCGCTGCATCTTAGCTTGATCTTCTTCTCGTTCATGTCCATCGTGCGGTGGTACTTCTCCCTGATCTGGCCCCTCAGTTCCTGCGTGGCCCCGGTCAGTACGTCATCCAGCCTGCAACAGTGAAGAGGAAAAAACATCAAAGATCTCCATGCCCAAGTAACTGATGAGAATGAACGCTCTCCAAGTCAGACCAGTCTGATCGTTCGCTAACCTCTGGTCAATTCCGCCAGGCACAAAATGACTATCAGTCGACTTTATGATTTACTGATCAAAATTGGCCCTTGGCAAAGATCTCACTTCCAAACTGGTTTCTGTGTCCCCCTCAATAAATCTTCAAGAAAGGCCGCAGGGAACCAACCAATCTTTAGCGCTCATTCTCAAATGGTTCTGGCCCCTCTAAAGTCTTGCCCCAAAATTATATGCTACCATGCTCTCTCACTCCACGTTGATAGCTGTTATTAAGTTTCACTGGAGGGGTATCATTTGACTCAATCTTAATTCTTGGAAGAATAATCTCTCGGGGGGGGGTTGTAAAGGGGAGGCAAACTCACCCAAACAGCACTTGCTGGAGAAGCTTATCTGTTTTGCTGGCCGCAGTCTCATGCCACAGCTGTGAAAGTGAAACACAAGCGTATAATATAAAAGACAGCCTGTTAAGCTTAACCTTGTGTTATTTAAGCTAAATAGAACCTACTAAACTAGAACCTGCTCCCCCTAGCAATGCATCCATCTTCTGGCCAGAGTGCTCTGAAAGTGATCGTCTGAAGAAACTCTGTTACTATTGTAGAGACAACCGGCGTACCTGCAGTTCAGTCTCATCGATGGGTCCCATCTCGTACTGCTGGTGCAGCACCACCATTTCTGTGTCGTAAAACTTCAGGCAGTCCTGGACGGCCGACTGCTCCATGCTCTGGATGAAGGCCGACCAGCGACTTGGAATCTTGGGCAAAGAAACAAATATTTTTCAGTGAAGCATGGCGCTTTTGAGTACAGACGTCGAGCAGAAAAGTTATGTGTTCAACAGACGTGACCAAAAAAATTCCTGCTGTATGCCGCCCATAAGCAATTTCCGTGAATATCTTGGGTGAAGACACATTGTGTTTGGAGAGTACCTGAGATAATGATCCCTCATTGGCTGCTGTCACCAAAACTTCAATCAGTGATGCTAATTCAGCTCCTGTGATTGGTCGACCTGAATCATGATAATTTTAATCAGTTTAAGTCACTTCACATAATGTGTATATGCAAATCTTGGTCAGATGCCAACATTTTTTTTCTGTTAGCTAAAATTTACAAGAAAATTAAAAATCATAGTTTACTATTTAATTAGTAAATTAAGTTCAACAGAATTCATTGACAATCTACTTATCAATTGGTGCTGGAAAGATTTCAGAATTCTTACAGATAAATAATTCTCTGGCACCTCAGCAAATTACTTTAATGCTTACAAAATTCTAGTCAATCTCAAAGAACTTGAGCAAAATCAGTTGGTTAGAACTTGCAGATTTTTATCATCCCAAAATGCAACTGTATGACACACAATGACTACAGGTCAGGTCCTGATTGGCTTAATCTCTGTGGGACTCTTCCATTACAACTGATTGGGCCATACCATTTTTCTCTTTGGGGATGATTCCTTGTCTCAGGATGTTTATGAGCCGGTTCCTCTCAACTTTATATTCTGCTGTGAGGTCCTCTTCTCTTGCCTGATGGGGAAGTGTTTCAAAAGAAAACAATGCATTATACATATCAAATTACAAGGAAATTAGCAGCAATATGAAACGGTATGACCAACTAAAAACAAGCCATACTTATTTTATCAAAATTTTACCATAATTTTTCAGCCTTTACTCTGTAAATTTATAGAACAGAGGCAAGATAAATGTCCATATATTTGAATGCTTACAAATGTCATAGGTTTTTATTTGCAACACGTAATTTTAGATCAATTTTGAGGGCCAGAATCAATTTTAAATTACAATAAGTGGGGATTAAATTTGGTGCGCCAACTTTGCCGTGCTCGAAACATTCAAGTTGGAAAGGAACCCTAGGGGTGTACTTTTACACAGATATTTTCTTGTCTGCTCATAAAACCTTGTGTCTATGGCTAGGGCTAGGTCTTTGCTAGTTGCAAACACATCAGAACCGGCTGAAAACAAGCATAGCCGTAGTTCTGGAGGCCCGTTGCGGATAGGGCTTTACTCAGTTCCTCACCAGAGACAGATCTTGCAGGATCTCTTTCTTGGTGGCGGGGAAGAACAAGGTGTGGCAGTCCACATCTTGGAAGATGTCCAGGAGGCTGACGCGGTGGTTCTCGCTCTCCCAGGCTGAGGATTTCATCATCTCGGTCAGCCACTCTAACGGCGTGGGCTCATCGTTGCCGGTGACCTGGACAAAATCCTGCACAACCTACGACGGGAGACGTGGTAACACAATGCGTGACTGTCTCTGGTATTCGGCAACCAGAATCAGATGTTACTGCAATGGAATCATCTCAAAAGCATGTCACTTGAGCAAGCAAAATGCCTCGTTGACCAAAAGATTGTTTACAACTTGCAAAAAAATGCATAAGGGTGTGTTAAGTTGGAGGTGTATATGTACGTGAGCATGAAGCAACCTCAGCAATGGTTTCTGCCCGGATTAGTGATTTATTTTCCTAAGGAATTGAAAAATGGAGCACGTCAGTGTAGACAGATATGCAAATCGGTCAACAGCACATGTCAACATAGCAAATTTCCACAGTGCAGCGAGTTGGCAGACATCTGGCCAGAATGTTAAATGAAGCTACGAGAGTTTACCCAGAGGAGAGGCGGGAAGCTCAGCAGATCGTGGTTGAAATCCTGGGCCCACTTGGCTCTGGAAAGCTGGGACCTCAAGGCAAACAGCTAGAGAGAATAGATGGCAATGTGGTAGTCGTGCATAATTGGTAACACTCATAACCCAATGCTATTAACCCTAACACTCCTCAATCCTTCACCTGTTGGAGGACTGAGGAGTGTTAGGGTTAAAGACTCAACTCTAAAAAAGTGCCAAGGTTGGGTTGGTTAGGAATGGATTGGGCTGGGTCAGGTTGGGTTGGATTAGTTAGGGCTGGCCGGGCTAGTTTGGGTTGGGTTGGCTTGGGCTGGTTTGGGCTGGGTCGGGTTAGGTTTGGCAGGGCTGGGCTAGTTTGGGTTGGGTCAGGTTGGGTTGGGCTGGGTCAGGTTGGGTTAGGTTTGGCAGGGCTGGGCTAGTTTGGGTTGGGTTGGGCTGGGGCTGATTCCATAGAGCTGCTTAAGCCCAATATTTGGCACGAGAAAACCTTGTTTGATAAATCAGGTAACCAGCCAAAATCTGTGTGATGTATATTGATTTGGGATCGTATTTAGCTGTCTTTTGGTCAGCATGACAATCACATCAAGTTTGAGCTGGTAACCTTTGTTTTTTTTTGAGCAAGGTTTTTCACACTCAAGCAAATTTTGTGCTTAAGCAGCTCTATGAAATTGGCCCCTCAGGTTTGGGTTGGGCTGGGCTGGGTCGGGTTGGGCTACGTGTAACAGCCTCAAGCCCTTATAGTCCTGTCGGCATTTAGACCTGAACCCCATCAAGACTGATCGCAGCAAAATTAGGTATGCATCTGGAGATACCATGCCCTGTGCATCTACTAAGTTTTGGTCCAATCAAGCAAAGTATTTTCTCATTACGACCGTCAATAACTCACAATAGATTGTCCAGAAATGAGCACTTTTTTCCGAAAACAGTTGATGCAATGGTGCAATGCACAACATCAAACTTTCCAGACACTGGTTTCCTGACATAAGTTACACGGACGTATATAAAAGAATCTGGACTCGCAATGCCCTATAATCAGCTTAGAGAGATCATTGAACCCACTCGCGGCCATTTTACGGAGCCGAATACAAAGCTTGCCAGGCAGTGCCCGCCTTTGTTCTCCCTGGCATCAATAGAGGGGAGCCAACCCGCGCATTTGTATTCAGCTCGGTAAAATGGCCGCTGGTTGGCTTCTATTTCATACAAAGGCGTTGCAAGTCCAGGTTTTTTTATATACATTCGTGATCAGTCAACAAACCTTTAATAGCAGAATTGAAAAAAAAACAGCCAGTAGTCTGAACTTCTGATTTCTTACAGGTTTTCTGCGTACATCGTGAAACAAGGTTCTAGACCGCATCACTCTCTAATGGTTCACACCTGAGTTCTTCTTGACAGCAACTCCAGATAGTCCAGGTCGGCTTGGTCGATGACCTTGACCGAGTTGTAGATGAGGAAAGAGCTGAGCAGGGCAGCCACGGCAAAAACCTTGGCATCGTATGTCTCAGAAACATTGTTAGCAGCAAAACCTGAGGGAGTAATTATCAAACTGACTTTTAAGACCATGCAAAATGCTTTTATTACAAGTTCTGCACATGAATGGGAAATAATGCTAAGCATAAATCGACCTTCAGTTTTCCATCTAATCTCTAAATTGCCTAAGTTTATACATTACTTTTTTCCATGAACAATCATTTATGTGCATTTGAAACAGTGTTCCTAAACTTCTCCAGACTGTAAAAGCTTGCCCCAAATTTCTCCAATCAATTACTCATGTATAACATGAAAGTATATATTCCCTGTGATTTTCAGCCTGGCTGGTAGCTGGATTTACCTTCAGTGTCTAGAAAGATCACGGACACATCTATTCCGGAGGAAAGAGTCATTGTGGTTGGCTGAAACAGAGAGAAAAACACATCTGGAAATGTTAGATAACAGATTGTTGGACAGGTGCCTGTGTAGTGACTACCTGTCTGAACTTTTACTCTCTGATACAAAAACTGGATTACAGGGCCCTAAGTGCAACAGAAGGCAGGCTTGTATAACTCGTGACTCAGACTCAACCGGATGACTAGTGACTCAGACTCAAAAGATGTGACTCGGACTTGGACGCGATGTTTCATGACTTGAATACAAGTCTGTCAGAAGAAAAAGCTATTAAAACAACAAAAACAACCTCCTATGTGACTTAACTCAGATTCCCCCCTCAAAACAAAAGAATATGTCGGTCTCAGAGATGCTATAAAAACAAACAAGTAGTATACAGGTGAAAAATGTGGTATCGCACCCCAAACTGCAGAGGCTATTGAAGGCAAATATAAAAAATGATCAAGCCGAACTTTGATTTTCCTCTCCAGGGAAGGTGTGCGTCCCAGTCCGGCCACCCACCATGCCCCACATCCATATCCCCATGGTCTGCGGCCGGAGGCTGGGCCCCACGGTGAAGCCAAAGTTCCCTTGCTTCCCCATCAGCTGGTTCAGCAGGAAAGACTTGCCGGAGTGGTACTTGCCGACGACAGCCACAACGGCGACGGGATTGCTCAGACGCAGCAATGACTAAAAATCAATTAGAATTTGTATGAGAAAAGTTCAATTTCTTTGGTGTTTTTACCCTGCACGTGAGAAATTTTGAGAGGAGATCCTTGTCAGAAAATTGCGGCCATTAACTTAGATTGCGTCTGAGAGTGTTAAAATGTAAGGTTTAGGAAGACAGAGAACACAGCGGTACATGACATAAACTGCATCAAATGAAAAATCTGGTTCTTCAGTTTCTATGAGTTACCTGAACAGGTCATCTCTGTGAAAGGTTGAATGAGCTTAAGTTGGATTTCATGCTTTAAATTAAAATCACTTGGCTTTACTCTCACGTGCAAATACTTGAATAAAAAAGTCCACCTTAATAATTAAACTGAGACTTGAAACTTGACTGAGGACCTTGTCTTTGAGTGGTAATAATTTTGGACAATGTTGCCAGCTAAGAGTGAGAAAAGTGGGTAATTTTCTTCAGCAAGTACTGTGGTACTTTGGGTCTCCAGTTTGAGGAAGGGTGTGCCATCACCTGGATGCTTTCTTCGACAATTTCCATCTTCTTGTGGGAGGGGTCTGGTCGGACCAGCTGCATGGGCCGATCCTGCAGAGGGGGTAAAAGGGGCTGAAGGGATGCAGTCTGGGTAGAGTCATGTGTGCTGCCTGGTGCAGGCCTACAGGTGGCCTGCCGACCTGAAACCGAGACATTCATGAGGAACTGTAAACAGATTGCTAAGTTAGAGAAAAGAAACATGTAGGAAGCAGCAATCACCTTGACTGAAAGGATCAAAACAAGATACCATGGAAAATCAGTGTAAGAGTTCCATATATGGGCATCACTAATTTTCCCTGAAAATGTTGTAACAGCCATAAGAAAGTGATGAAATGTCCTAACAAGTGAAACGTCAGAAAATTCCGAAGCATATTCTTAAAAAACACTTAATTTTATTGCAGGCAAGTCCAATAGGTTTGTGCATGGAACTCTTTCCAAAATCAGTGTTTTAAAAGTGAGTGATCATTATTTTGTGATATTCGGGAAAAATCTTAAGTAATGAGTGCATGTATCCTGAGGAATATTGCAGGTGGATATCTGCAGTTAGGAAGGTTGGTTCATTTTATCATAACCACACATTAAATCTTTGGGATCTTCTTTAGCTTATAAAATGGAGTATTAAAATCACCCAAATACAACCATCTCAAAGGTGACCCCAAAATTAAAATGTACATGAAAATTCTTCAACAGTACTTCAGATGTTAACAAGAGAAATTAACATGAAACCCAATGTGAGTAAATGTTCTTATCAAAAAATGGAGTGAATGGTACCTTCTGGTTCTGCACGTCCATCTTCATTCTGACTTAGTTGACAGATCTCGCCACCTTTGCTCTGAGGTCTGGAAGCGTCATTGCCTCTACTTTCAGCGATCAGCATCAAATTCATAATCACAATCCTAACAAGTAGAGTAACGGCACCAAGCGCAGCCATTTGTCTACACTTGAACTAACATGAGATCTAAATCTAGGGTCCACTACAGACTAGGTCGTCCGGTCCACGAACATTCCCACTAATCAAGAGCAGCCATCCTTGGAAATACACTGAGAAAATTACTGGTAGGCTATCTAACTTTTGTCAACACGTTTGACAAACTCCACAGCCTCTTTTAAGTTATAATTTTGCGTTACTGTCAGCAACAATTAGGCGTCATTTAAAACAGTGAAACTAACTCAGCTGAACAGAAGTCTCTCTGTTCTTCAATGTTTGCACACGTGTGACTGCGTCAAACTTCGTGTGCGCCGCGCGAGATCTTATCAATGCACTTGAACAGCGCCCTCAAGAACAATTCCTTGCATGAAGGACAATCATGTGTTGTTAAATACTTACATATGGTGTACTTTTTACGACAAACATTTCTCTCTCTCTTTAGCCTCCATCCAGGCGACGCAACTACACGACTCGACTTCTTGCCATAACGTTTGCGTCGCGTCGTGCCGTCGCCCATCGCGTCGTACCGTCGTGCGTCGCGTCGTACGTCTAGTCGTGCATCGCGTCGCCTATTACGTCTCCTGAAGCACGACGCGACGCACGACGCGACGCACGACGTGACGCGATTTTTTTACTGCAAGCGTTTCCACTGCAAACCCTACAGCTACTTGCCAAGTCAAGACAAGCCAAGTCGTCCGCCGCTTCAGCAATAAATCGTCTTCAAGCTAGGCCCTTTATTTATTTTCATTGCTAATTCATATTGTTTTCTGTTACATAGAATCCCTGTTGTTGTTTTTTTTTCTCATTATTAAAAAGATGCTTTCTCTAATGTGAGGGTTTTTGTATTTTCGTAAACTGTGCGAAAACTTTTCACTATATTAGCCGGAAACGAATTAATTCTCACTGGTTAGCTGATAATAAAAGGCGTAAACTAGTAAACAAATAAATAATTTAAGCAGGTGTCATGATTCTCATATTATGTCCGCTACAATATTTCTAAATCTATTCTAAGATACAATACATCAATCATTATAACGTGCTTCCTAATGTAAGATGCGGATCAGATGAGAAATTATACATCATGTGTGTGGCCAAACAGAGTTAAAAAAAAAAAGACACGGCCACAATGATAATAGCGTCTGTATAATCATTCCTACCTCCATGGTATAATGTTTTATTCAGAAACATGGACTAATATCATTGAAAGTGTGGTGCTGATGAAGGTAACGAGGAAGACTGACCTGAAGGAAGACTACGACGGAATATTCTGAGGGTATTATAGAGCAGGCTCGGTTGTAACTTCCTAAACCCGTGGTCAAACTTGCGGTCATACAATTGTAGACAAGTTGTCTGAGGAATTGGGAGTACTACTTAGAAATTACTGGGATGGACCACGGGGAAATACCGGTATTTATAAGATTTAAAATCTGAGCCGTCGTGCCGTTGCGTCGTCTGGTTGCGTCGCCTGGAGGAGGCAAGAGAGAGAGAGAAATGTTCGTCGTAAATAGTACACCATACTTACAAAGTGGCATTGGTTTTCTTCACCATTCTAATTTAGAGCAATGCTGCCCTCAAGGGGGGATTTGTCGTAAGAACGGGGAATTACCCTCGCTGGTACTTGGCGGCGGAACAACAACACACTACATACAACAAATGCAAGAATACCGGCAGCCAGCGTAAACTTTGACAGCATGGCAGACGACGAATGGGCGGACTTAGAGAATTATCGTCTCGGTAAATCACTGTTTTGAACAGGGATTGTCATATTTAACAGATTTTGAAACATTATTAATCCTTACCTCGAACTATTGCATTGCGTCGGCTTGGGTGATTTCATACATCTTGTATTTGTTAGATTTGTCGATTGCTATGCCTCGACCGCCGTAACCATGTTCATGATTTAACTTTTTTTTTTTAAGTTCACGCTTAATTTGAATGTGAACATGTACATGTATCAACAAGTTTGAAGGCCTAAAGTTATTAATGTTGCACGCGATCGGTCGATCCGCACGATTGCCCGTTTGCGGTGCTCAGTTGGTTCATGTTGTAGGACTACTCTCCAACTTCAATACCTTTTTTCAAATCAGTCTTTCACAGATGTGAATTAGAGAATGAAAAGCCAATGGCAATTGGCTGATGATAGAATTATAAACCGTGATAACAAGAAGTTATGAATATGAAGAATAAGATCGACTAAACCTATCCCACAAAGATCAAGGTGATTGTATCCTGCATATTGACTGATCATGCCCAACACCATACATTGCAGATTGAGGCACTAACCCTAACCCATAAAAACAGTCATGACAGTGGCTCATCGTTTGAGGCAAACCTGACATAGGCTTGGTTGACGTAGTAATAGGCTTCTTGGAATTTGAGGATTTTGGGAGTCTGGTTGGCAAAGTCATTCCTTGTCTTCCACCTCTGTGGTCCAGATTTAATTCCCGCCAGCCTAGTCCACATCATATTGGGTTTTCAGTCTGCCTGATTCCGTGGGTTTTCCCCAGTATATTCTTTTGCAGGATGTTCGTCTACCTTTGAAACTGTACCTGCTTCTTATTGTCTCCTCTCAACAGGTGTCTTCAAGGCTTACGAGCTACAGTGCCTAGAGGCTTTTGAGGAATCCTTGGTGTCATTTTATACCAGAAATAATAATAATAATATAAAGGCAGACATGAATTTGTGAAGTCGTTAATATCAGATCAAATTGATTTCCAATCCAGAAATACAAATGAGTCTGTGATCAACATCAGCCATTGTGTACTTGTTAACAGTGTTATCCCAGTGTTATTAAGAAATTATGATTCTTGTCTGAGGCAGACCAGGCGCTGACTATAGACACTGGCTTGTTGGATATTGGATTGGCAACACTATTGCTGAATTCTTGCATTATGAATTGTACAATTCAGATTTGACAGCTAAGGATGGCCCCGATGGACTGGACTTTGCCCTGTTGGAACTTGGGTCAACGGGTCAGGTGACAGCAGTACTGAGGGGTGACCCCAAGGCCGGTCCAGCTCCACTGTCCACGGTACGGTTGCAAGGAGTTCACCTTTCACTCTGCCAGGCCAACTGTACACAACAAATCACTGTATTTCTCTGTTGCTTGGCAATGCAAGCACCATGATTTCCCTTTTACAAATTTGTTTCATATGCTCACCTTGCATCCAGTTTAATTTTGGCAAATTGTGTAAAATGTATACGGAAAGTCAGCGGAAAGGAAAGCCAAGGCATAGCCCGGTTGCTGGACGAGCCACATGAATGGCACAGCATGCTTCCTGTTAACAAAAGGGTGATGCAAGTTTCCCTCAAGCAGAGTTCAGTTATCAGGAGTTGAGATGCCGTACAAGTTTGTAGTGGAAATGTATCCGTGGTCGTGGTTAACTGTTTTGCCATTTTCATTCAAGTGCATGAGATGAAGTTGGACGCAAATATTAAGAGCATCCCAGACAACATACCAGTATTTTGAACTAAGCTAGCTTGAAGCTAGCTTGAGAAGGTCGCGGGACTTCATTTCGACTAACTTCCCTGCCACTTCTTTAGCACAGGTTTCCGCTACCACTTTTATTTCCCCAGTTGCCGAATGGCTTGCCACCAGTGCTTCAAGACCTGAAGCTGAAGACGCTCCAGTTCCTGGACAGACCAGAGAAACTCCCCATCCATGATGTCAAGACAGCTCAGAGGTGAGCACTCTGAACCGTGTTTGTGTTTTGAAACTCTGTGAGCGTTTGTCTGAAGCAGGCTTTGCTTGCCTCCCCCCCCAAAAAAATTACTGACATATGTGTTTGCCGACCTGGTTTCTGCTAAAGGTTTTGGCCCCGTACATCTGACCCATGCAGCCTGTACGAGGTACGATTATGCCCCGTACAGACCACACTAGAGATGGAGAGACATCCAACTACGGGGGAGCTGACCGGCTTCAGAGAAGTAAGTTCATCGATGTCCTCATTTGGGCATCTGGTTTCTAACGGCATATTAATGTAGGATTAAGCTGTACATGAACTGGAATACACTTTGAGTTTGGCTTTTGAAAAGGGCAGCTTCCTATGTTGCAGTTCGCTTAAGTGTGAAAACTTTGTGAAAATCATGGCCAAGGCTAGAAAATCTTCCTAAATACATTGTACATGAATATATACAAATTTGAATTTCTACCATCTAAAGGATGATGCAAGACTCAGCAAATGATTTGCATATCTGTTATCATTTTTGGTTATTATTCTGCTGTTGCCATGAGTGCAGTATCCCATGAGCCATTGCATTGGTCACATGACAGGTTCATGAATATGTATGTGCTTTGCCAAGCGCTACATGTGTAGGCCTCTTCCACACCAATCTAAACAAAATCTAAACATGCAATTGTTATGCAGATTAACGAAACGGTCACTCAGTTCATTATTAAGCTTTTGAGTTGTTGTTGTTTGTGGTACCTGTAGGTTAAGATAGAGGACACGGCCGCCACGGCCAAGAACTCCCTCTCCCTACGTCGCCAGCCGGGACCGCCCACCCAATCAGTGCGTGGCAGCTCTACAAACTTCCCCTTCTGGCCAGGAGGCATGGATGAGCCATCAGCGGAGATCATCGGTGCTCGAGGGGAGGACGAAGAGGAGATTAACTTTGAGAACGGTAAACACTTGACAAAATACCAATACCTCACATTGAACAAAGGTGATCCTGGGCCCCTATGTTAGGCTGTGTCCAAAACTGTCGGCTATGGCTTGTCATAACTGTAGGCACTTATAGAGGCCACTGGCTAGACGTTCCATGTGCTTCCCATAGATATGTGTGATACATCAGCCACAGCCATTACTTTTTAGACTCGACCTTAAGTGAGTTCAACTTTGTTACTAACGTGTTGCATCCTGACTGATATTTGTGCATTCAAATTTACATTTAATTTTCTCATATGTATAAATGGGATGGGTTGGTTCATGGACGACTGCATTTGGCAAGTTTGCCTCGACTTAAAGGACAGACGTTCTTTTTTTTTCTACCCAGATCTTCTCTCGACTCCCCCGGGGCTAGCCACTGGCATGACATTCGAGAGCAAGCCCCCTGCCATCATCGCAAACAAACCCGACCAGCCGCCACCCAACGAAACTCCTCCCACTGCACCGGCATCCCACATCCTGAAACTGACGGATCTCATGATCGTCGACGATGGCGATGAATTTGCCTTCTCTGACAAGGAGGAGGAGGGGGACTTGGAAGAAATCGATGATGCGGGTGTGGCAGGGGAAGGCGGGGACTTGAAAAAAGAGGCAGATGAATTGAGCAAGGAAGCGGCGGAGAATTTAGAGAAGATGTTGCCCCAGGTAATGAGAACTGCAACTTTGATAAAGTTTATCAATTCACAGATTTTGTTCAAGTCTACAGTCTGCATTTTATGATTTTGCTGCAGGAGATGACAGTTGCCAAGCAACGGAAGGAGGAGAAGGCAGAGCCAACCAAGGAGCAGTGGGCAGTCAGTGTGGATGTTTCCACTCCAGTGAGCGACTTCCACCGACGGGTACCAGCTCCAGCAAAAGAGGTGAAGAGCACATCTCAAAATGTTTGCTAGCTCACTCAGGTGGGACTCGAACCTTTGACTTCCTGCTTACAAGTGCAGATGTCTTACCACTCAACTGCCAAGTCTAACATAAACCAAACTGTGAAATTCCTTAGGAAGAAAAGATGTCTGTAAGAATGGTTATAACTGAAAAGGTCCAGTTATTTTGAACTTGTCTGTTTTGTCGGATGGGTGATATTTTCCTCGCCTTCCATCTCTGCAGCTGAGGTTCAAATCCCACCCTGGCTCATGTTCTTCCAAGGGTTTCTGCCAGGTACTTCTGGGTACTTATGCTTAAGTTTTCCTTCCACCTCCAAACTGAATTCCTCTTCATCGTGTTTTCTCTCTTGGTCTTTTTCCGGCTTCTGAGCTGCTGTTTTTGTAAATTTTTGGAAGAACCCTTAGTTCCATTGGCAAAATTAACTAAAAACATATCTGATTTGGACCATTTCAATTACTCTTGAATTTTTTTCCAGTGGCCGTTTGAGCTGGATGTCTTTCAGAAGCAGGCTGTCATCCATTTGGAGAACCACGACTGCGTATTCGTTGCAGCCCACACCTCAGCCGGTAAAACAGTGGTCGCCGAGTATGCTATTGCACTGTCGCTCAAGCATCTCACCAAGTAAGACAGAGAGAAAGTCATTTTGTTCTCAAATGAGTCACGTTGCAAGGTCCAACAATCCAAGATTTTCAAACTTTACTGGGAGGAGGTTTGGGAGGATTTCTAAAGATTGAGGAAGGATGAGCCTGCGTTACTTTTAATACACGGGGTGTGAAATTCTTCAAAAATTTCAATATTCTTCTGGAAGGATTTGCCATTGGATTTCTGCAATAAAGTGGATCTGTTCTTGGCAAAAATTTTGTGGGATTCAAAAGATAAGAGATATCGGTGACTGTTAGCCAACTGCTGGTCGATTGTGCCTGGTACCATGGACATGGAACTTGACACAAGAGTTGAAAACAGTGATTTAGCGAGTTTAAACCTTGGAATATCTTTGTTCTACCGTATTTCCTTTGTTTTCTGAACTTGTCTTGGTCTCCTTGGGTATCCAAAAATAGTACCTGCTCCCAATTTTAATGACGTGTTTTTCCCACCAAAGACATTTCAAGCACATGGTGGTCAGATTTTGAAATGTTTTTTAGTGAAAATGCCTGTCTTACAATACCACAGAACCGTCTATACTTCACCGATCAAGGCCCTGTCCAATCAGAAGTTCCGGGACTTCAAGGAGACCTTCAGCGGGGACGTGGGTCTTCTGACGGGAGACGTCCAGATCAAGACAGATTCCTCATGCCTGATCATGACCACGGAGATCCTGAGGTAGGCCAGGATGACATTCTTGGCCCTTGCTGTGTCATCGATGCATAATGGCCCTGTGCATGAATAAGAGAGGGCGCTCTTGTCGCCCAGCAACAACTCCTCTTTGGGTTGACATTACCATCTGACATTTGTACTTCAATGGTTTTTGTGTGCCATTCCTCATTTTACTCAGACTTATGACCATGTCCGGATTGCTAAGCTGCGGCTAATTGTAACACATGTTTATGGAAGCCCTCAGCTAGCTGCTTCTTACCTTTCCCACAGATGCATGTTATAGCCAGCCATAGCCATGTGATTTGGAACACGGCTCATGTGTAAAAAGGAAGCAGGTAGATTGTTCCCTGTCCCCACATCGTCAAGGTGGGGTCTAGGCAGTCAGCCTTGCCTCTCAGCTTTTTGGACCTGATTTCAAGTTTGCAACTCGGGAAATATTGGACTGCCATGTCCACATTATTACTATTACAATAGTCATCTGGTACTTACCTGATACTTCTTCAGTGTACAGGGAATTAAATGGAAATATTGATATTCACTGATGAGTATATTTGAAGTGGTCTGTTTCCCTTGCATTGCAGGTCAATGCTGTACAGTGGCTCCGATATCATACGGGACTTGGAGTGGGTGATTTTCGACGAGGTCCACTATATTAACGACTCAGAGGTAGGTCATTCCCTCCCCTAAAAATGAAATTTTCAACAAAATGTGTATAAGGGCAATACTCGCAATGCAGTGGTTTAGGGTTCGAATCCCTGTTGTGCTGCAGGAATTTTAAACGGTCTGTTTGGATTCGTTGGCAGAGAGGCGTGGTGTGGGAGGAGGTCCTGATCATGCTACCCGCCCACGTGAAAATTATTCTGCTCAGCGCGACGGTGCCAAATACGCTGGAGTTTGCCGATTGGGTCGGGTAAGTGTCCCCATGGTCTGTCAAACCTATCAAACACCTTTGAAAACACAACGTTGAATTCGTTAGTCATTCATTGCGTTGATGAGGTTAGGAGAAGAAAGCTAGCCACCAGCTTTGGCGAGACGAAAATCAACTTTTCCTTCACCAGTTTATTCAGACTTCAAAACTTTTAAAACTATGTTTAACTTTTGCTTTTTTCAGACGAATCAAAAGGAGAAAGATCTATGTAATTAGCACTTTGAAACGACCTGTCCCTTTGGAACACTATCTCTACACGGGAAACAGTACCAAGTCAAGCAACGAGCTATTCATGATTGTAGACTCCACCAAGAAATTTTTGACTTCAGGGTGAGTACAGTGAAACAGGATTGATACCGCAGCTTTTGTACTTCTTGTTTAGCCGGTCCCAAGTATGAAGATATTGTGACCCGAGAATAACATGGGCATATCTGTACGCCGGAACAATAGACAAACTGGTCAAGACTGCACCTTTCTTGTCTTCAGATACCACAAAGCCGTTGATGCCAAGAAGGAACGGGAGAGCAAGGCATCTGCTTCGTTCGGAGCCAAAGGCCCCAGGCAGGGCCCCCCGAAAGGGGTGAGTAAAGTGTGTGTCAAAAGTGGACAGTGACACACCCACTCTGGATAATGTTCTTTATTTTTTTCTCGAAACAGAGTGACTTTGAGCGGGGAGTTTTTATAATAATTTCTTGATAGACTGAAGATTACAGTTATAAAGATTGACCGCTGAGGAATTATAATACCCTATTTCATGAAGCATTAATTAGCAAATTGTTTTTTGCTTGGTAAGCATGAAATTTTCCTGTTAACACTGTTGGTGCAGAATGTTGATAGTAAGTGCTGAATTTTGTGGTTAGCACAGCCATTTAATTTGGCCCAGCTCTGTGAAAATTGAAATTAGGACTGTATTCTAGCCATAGGGAGTTGTATGCACTGTATTTATTGGCAGAACAAATGCATTCCATACGTGTCCACATTTGAGATAATGTTTCAGAAAACCATTGTATATTTTTATGCTAAGGAAAAATAAACAGAGAACCAAGCACAGACAATAAACATCGCAGTACATTATGGCTGGTTACCTGTTTTTGCTAAGCAAGTATTTTCTGTATTTACCAAGTCTATGTAATTGTACAGTAGCATTTGCAGTCTAGTCATGCTGTTACATGCACTTTGTTTTGAAGGATAAAGGTGTGTACCTGTCCGTGGTGGACATGCTGCGCAAGAGGGACCAGCTGCCCGTGGTGGCGTTCACACTCTCCAAGAAGCGCTGTGACGAGAACGCCAGCATGCTGACGACCCTCGACCTCACCACTACCAACGAGAAGAGCCAGATCCACGTCTTCATGCAGAAGTGCGTGGAGCGGCTGAAAGGGAGTGACCGCATGCTGCCTCAGGTGGGGGGGCGTAACTAGGGATTTGGTGGGTGGGCTTAAATGTGCTGATGGGGACTGGTTGTTGAAGAAGCAGCTGGCGCTGTGATAGTTAGGGGATGCCACAATACATTTTGTATAGGATGGTGGACGGAACCATCACAGGCTGTCACAGGTTAGGAATAGTAGGGGTGGAGCAAGTCTTGGGTAGATGGGATTTGCATTGACTGTAAAAGTGTGGCATGGTTGAAAGGAGCACACAGATGTTGCCAAGGATAGGGGATTGCAGGAGCGAGCTAAGAAGTTGGTTGACGGGATTCACCTGTTTGTCAAGAATGCTATGGGAGCGACCTTGTGCTTAATTCTCTCCTTTGTTTCATTCCTTCAGGTTCTTCACATGCGAGATTTGTTGAAGCGAGGGATCGGCATTCATCACAGCGGGATTTTACCTATCCTCAAGGAGATGATTGAGATGCTTTTCCAACGAGGCTTGGTCAAAGTAAGGTTTTTCTCTTTCTCTCCATCCCTGTATTCCTTGCTGCTTCACATTTGGCCCCTTACAGATTCCAGTCTACTTGGTTGATTCATTGCTTGTTGCAGCTGCTGTTTGCCACGGAGACTTTCGCTATGGGCGTCAACATGCCGGCCAGGACGGTCATCTTTGACTCCACTCGCAAGTTTGATGGCACGGGCATGCGGACACTTCTGGCTGGGGAGTACATCCAGATGGCTGGCCGGGCAGGCCGGCGTGGGCTGGACACCACGGGTATGGTCATCGTACTGTGCAAAGGAGATGTGCCGGAATCATCAGAGCTGCACAAGATGATGTTGGTAAGATGGGGAGAGGTTCGAATCCCACCCAAGTAGCTCCTTGGTTAGGGTTTGATGGACTCTGAGTAACTCCCATGACTGTTTCCATTATACACCACTGCAAGCCTACCCAGGAAGAGTCCCAGTTCCAGCTGACAATAATCCGTAACCTCCTCTGGTTTGAGGAGCCTCCTTGGGGTTAGGGGTTTGACTCTTTGCCTGAGGAACACAGTGGAAAGATCCTTGTTTCAATTCCCACTAGAATAGCCCCCATGCCTGTCCACATCCACCAGGGCAAGCCCTCTCATTTACAATCCCAGTTCCAGCTGACTTACACTACGAATCCTTATCCTCATCTGCTTGAACCTACTCTGTCAGTGGCTCTGGGTTCGAATCCCACCTGAGCATCCCCTTAAAATTGTCCACATTACCCCTAGGGCAAGCCCACCCAGCTGGAGTCCCAGTTCCGGCTGACCTACACCATGATCCTCAACCTCCTCTGTGTGGAGGAGCTGCGGGTGGAGGACATGATGAAGCACAGCTTCTCCGAGTCCAGCACCAGGAAGGACACCAAGGAGTACGAGGCCAAGCTGCGAGCAGTCCAGGAGGAGATGGGTCAGGTCAGGGAGCTGAACTGCTACCTGTGCCATGAGGACCTGGAGCAGTACTACCAGACCTGCAAGCAACTGCAGAAGCTGAGGCTAGGACTCAGGGTAAGCCTTACTGAGGGTTTGAAATTTGACTTCATGGGGTTCTCATGACAAATCCTGGGGATAAAACTTGTCCTAGAGAGTCTTGAAACAATCATGGAAGATCAGGGAGAAATAGTATGACCTTGAATCTTGATAGGAAAAGTCATGAAAATCAATATCATGCAGTGGTTATTTTGATGGGCTGAGGTGTGAGAACTGAATAATGATAATTTCCACTCGACTTTTGTCAGTATACAGTAGTAGCTGTGGCAGTCTTGCAGTTCAGAAAAGAAAACAGCTTCTCCTTACAAAGCGGTATTAAATGTCATAGACATTGTCATATTTTAGTCCTGGAAGGTCATGGAATTGGGTTGTCAGATTTCTGTGGGAACCCTGCCTTTGGCAATGAAAGCAATAATTCATTTAAAAAAAGCAGAACGGAACCCGTGATGTATTTATCAGACCCCTCCCCCACCTCCAGAGTCTGGAGTAGACACACTGTGATTCCTACTGTTTAAGATTGTGGTGGAGCCCATTGTATGCCTGTTCTGAAAAAAAACAGATACTCTCCCAAGATATCCCCTAAGCTTCTCAAAAAGTGGATCTTCAATTTATGAAGGCAGGCAGGGTGTGCTTGTTGAAACTTTTAATCAAGGTTCCCTTAAATCAGGGGGGTTCCGCAGAACCAATCTGTCTCAGTTCTTATATGTTTATCACTGGTAAAGTTCCCTGTTTCCCACATAAATATTCTTTGAACCAGTTAGGATACCTCCAGTTTAGGATTCATAATTTCATGGGTACAGCAACCTATCCAAGTTGGTTTTTCTACACAGTGTACTGTGTAAACGCTGTATTTCCTTTGTAATATTAGAAAATGATTGCATCTCATCCATTGGGAGTGAAGGCCCTCTCCTCGGGACGAGTCGTTGTTGTTTGCACCAAGCAGAATCGCAATGCTCTGGGTGTCATTCTCAGCTCCTCAACAGCCAGCAAAGAGAGAACATTCAAAACCCTAGTCCTGTGCAATCAGCAAGATCCTGGTACCGGGAGCTCAGCAGTGAATCCAGGCAACAGTTTTCACGTGGAGCCTCTGCGCAAGGAGCCCCTGTTCCAGCCAGAAGGGCCCTGCGGTCACACGGTGCTAGACCTGGTCGGAGAGCAAATTGGGACTGTCACAACACTGACCATAAAGATTGCCAGCGACCGGATCGCAGACGATTTCAAGAAGCGGCAGATGCCCAGATTCAGGTACCAAGAACATCGCAGACACAGGAAAAAAGATCAAGGAACGAGTCATTGTCTGATGGTTGAAGTGGAATGTAGTCGTGTCTGAATGAAATGTTGGTGATGAAAACAGGTTTAACTTAAAACCTAATGCTTGTGAGGCCCGGAGCTCACTTTGGATTCTTATCTTCCGCAAAGCCCAGTTGTTGGACTGTGACTCAGTGGCTTGGATTTGAAGGGGTGATTCTCCCCATGCTTGAGAAATTAAACACACTGAGTAAGGATATAACCTCTTTACCTCTTTAATGTTTCATCCTCAGGGACAATCCCCCGGGACAGTCCACCAGCATCGCCACCCAGGAGCTGCTCCGGATCACCGAGGCCAACCCTGACGGTCTGCCCTCCCTAGATCCCGTCAAAGACCTGCACCTGCGAGAGCTGGACCAAGTGGAGAAATTCCAAGAGCAAGCCACCCTAGAATCTCTCTTGGACCAGTATGGCTGTCTCAACTGCCCCAACTTCCTGGAACATGTTAGTAATTTTGACCCAACCCAAGACTGCCAGTGGTTTATAAACTACTTTTGCTCATTACAGAAGTTCAAGAGTCTTGTTATTACTCTGAAGTCAAGTATAGGTGTCTATGTGTATACCAACTTTCACTCCAATCTGTCATTGGACAAACAAGATCTTAGTCTCGGGGAACTCCTCGATTTAGCTGTGAGAAGGTAAAAAAGCCTTGCTCTTTAGGAGTTAAATGAGAACCAGGACCATATCTACATGATAAGGACCTCCAAATGTCAACAGTAACAACTGAGTCTAATTGACAATGACAACTCAATGTGTATGACATTAGCATCTAAGTATTAATGCCAATTGACCATGAAAGATAAACATAAATGACTACTAACAGCCATGTCTAATTGAGCATCAGAACTAAACCTGTATGACAGTGGCATTGAAGTCTGAATGGCTGTGACAGATATGTCCTCGGTTGACATCCTTGTCCTCAGTTTGGTATGATGTGTCACCGCATGAAGCTCAAGGAGGATTTCAACCATCTCCGATACTTACTTTCTGATCAAAGCCTGCATCTACTGCCAGAGTACCATCAAAGGATACAGGTAAGGGACGGTCTGAGAAATTCAAAAAGGTAACATCCATAAGTCACAATTGAGAATAATCCGGTTCCATTGCCGTGATATAGACCTTTAACACGATACTATAAGAAACTTATCTTTTTTTTCATTATGATTTAAATGTGGACAAGTCTGTCAGTGGGATTGAGTTGTGTTAGTGAACAGTGTTGCAGTCAAGTACTTGACAAGACTCCAAAGTCCTCACAAGTCCTCATAGGTCCTCACAGATACTCTTTAGTCCTCTTAGGTACCAGAGTCTCAAGAAAAAGCCCTATAGATATTTCTGTGTTATTATCATTAGTGAAAGTACTTGTGAGGGTGTATGTACTAGACTTCAATGCTGTGGTTGAACCCAACAAGTGCTGCAGTGTCTCCCACACCATCCAGCCACTGGAAACACTCAAAGAACTTGTGTCAATATGTGAGACTACTCATGAAAATTACTTAAGTACTTGTGAAGCACTCAACTTCAGAACTGTGGTTGGGATGCACTTGTGCTGCAGCGCCTGCATCGCATTAGTATCTCCCACAATGTAAAGTACTGGAGCTGAGTACTGGAAGAAGTGATTGTACTTGTGGCAGTATATGTTGTAACAAATGAAAAATACTAAGGTACTAGTAAAGCACTTGACTTTAGCACCCATCATTGAACCCTACAGGTGCTGCAGCACCTGCGTCACATCGATACCTCCCACACCATCCAGCTGAAGGGCCGGGTGGCGCGGGAGATGAGCAACCATGAGCTGATCCTGACGGAACTGGTGTTCCAGAGCCTGCTGAGTGGGCTGCCGCCAGCCGAGATTGCCGCTCTGCTGTCCTGCATGGTGTTCCAAGAGAAACGCTGCAGCGAGCCCGAGCTGACGCCGTCCTTGAAAGAGGTGAACAAGGAGAAGGTTGAAGCCTTTGGGGGAGGGAACTTCACCATGGCCAGTGTTCTGAGACCTTTGGAGACCATTACTTTTTCCAATCGTTTTCAGAGAAAGCATGAGTCGAATGAGGTTTATGGATGTAAATTATGTGGTGAATAAATACCGATGATGCTAGGATCCTGGGACTCTTCCTCAGAAAACTAATCCTTGAGGGGTATCATATCCCAAACCTGTTAAATATGCCTCTAAAACAAAACATTCTATTCAGTTTCTGTAACATTTTCTTAAGAATCCTAATTCTTCTTGCAATTGTTTTGTTCCTAACCTTAGTCCTAGTCCAATCTCGTTAAGTTATGACTTGGCCCCTCAAAATCCTGTAGAGCCTGTGGTTTATTCTAAAATGACCTGGTAGGTTAAAGGTTAATCTTCATACTTATTGATCTTCATCTGGATTTTTTTGGACCCAGGGAGTGACCAAGATCAAAGCGGAGGCGAAGCGTCTCGCCAAGATCCAGTACGAGTGTGGTATGAATCTCTCCACAGAGGACTACGTTGAGCAGTTCCGCTTCGGCCTGACCCAAGTGGTGTACGAATGGGCTAGAGGAATGGTAAGTTCACCGGTCCTTTTTTTCTGCATGGTATTAGGCAGTGCAGAAGCTGGCCCAAGGAACAGCAGGTTTCCAAGCACAGTGTGTTGACCTTCTGCTGCATAGTTTTTAGAAAGGACTCAATAAGTGGATTTATGAGCCACTTCACTGGGCGCCACGTATATTTGCCATCCCTGAATGACATCGGACATACCTCATTTTGGGCATGCGCTTTTGGAATACCAAACTTGCTCATTGTCGGTTGACACAAAAGTGACTTCCCTCTGAGTATACATCTACATTGCTCAATACATCTGACTTCCCTCTGAGTATACATCTACATTGCTCAATACATCTGAGACTCAGCCTCTTGAGGTATGTGATACAGAGGTTGAGTAATGGCTATGGCTGTGACTTTCTGTGGGAAATGACTGCAGTTCTCAGCCTGTTGTTGGCTTAGACAGGTACCTGTGTTGCCAAGACTGTTGGACACAACATGTCTTTTAAATTTATCGAAGGTAGCAAAGGTTGTCTTTTCAACTGTTTTCTTTGCCAAACGCTGTAAATTCGTTGTTTTTTCATAGCCGTTTGCCGATATCACCAACCTGACGGATGTCTCAGAGGGCATCATCGTACGGACCATCCAGCGACTGGACGAGGTCTGTCGCGATGTCCGCAGTGCGGCCCGCATCGTGGGCGACCCCAGCCTCTTCCAGAAGATGGAAGAAGCCTCACAGCTGATCAAGAGAGACATTGTGTTTGCTGCCAGCCTCTACACACAGTAGCATCTCAAACCCCAAAGTCTGAAGAATTTACAGTTAAGATTACCAGAACTAAAGAAAGTTCAAAATCCCCCTCCTTCCACCACAACAGCGCACCTGGTAAAGGATGCCCTGTCCCCATTAAGTTTTCACAGCTTGTGAATTTCCCAACAAATTCTGGTAAGACATCCTCCTTCTCTAATTTTAAGCGTGGTGAGATGAAATGAAGATGAACTCATTTTCCCCAATTTGATAATTTAATTAATATATACATTTAACACAGAGGAATTGGTCTGGCTGAAAGCATTGGCCTAGTCATGTGTAATGAAATGTTTGCAACAAAAATGTAAGCTTTATTTTAATGAAATTAATAAGACTGCTGATTTTGGCCTTTTTTTAAAAGTACTTCTGAGAAGTCCAATTTGCTTTCAGTGCAAGATCAAGTAAATGAATACTCAGCGATCTCAGATATTATTTTATTTTCATCAGTGAGAATTTCTTTGCAGTGAATGCAGGAATAAATTTTGACTGGATCATTTCTAAACAAACTCCCAGTGATGCCAGTGGGCAGTTTTCTTCTTCATAGTTTAATTAGCACTGCTAAAACCAATTTAAAGTTTTAGGCCTAAAATGAATATTTCTACATTAAAGGTACATAAAATGTACCAATACATGTATGCAGTGTCAAGAAATCTCAGCCTTAGGTCTTGTTTCAGTGTTGTACTTAGTCTGTGATATAACCACATCACACAAATGGTACAGTCCAGACAGAGTTGAGACAAAAACTGTGTCTACAGGCACTTGCCTTTTTATTTACAACATTTTTTATACAAGAAATGTACAAAATCTAACAAGCTTCATTATGATCCTCGAGCTGGACCAAGGGAGGGTGCTATGTTCTTGGCAACGGAGGCTCCTTTGGTCAGAACCGAACTTCCCGGTTCACGAAGTATTACCATCACTACCAACAAATTGAACACTCCCTTCCAACATGGCTCTTTTCAACCAATGAGGGGGTGCTTCTGCTCAAGGCGGATTACTGTCAGTGATTCACAGCATATCATGGTTTTTTTATTGAGAGGTGATGTGAAACATTCAAAATTCAAGTTTCATGTATTGGTAGATAAAAGCTGGTAGAAAAAAATGTATATTAGACATCTGGTTTGGCTTGGTAACCGACTATCTCGTCCCATCCTTTCCGGCATGTTCTGATGATCCATGCATGCTCATCATCATCTAAAAATTAAAAAATTATATCTGATTAAGATCTAGGAACTTACACTTTAGCCGTGCATACGAGTCATGGCTCTGGCTACAAGTAACACGTGCCTATGGCAAATGGCTTCCATTGGATTAAACAGCACTCACAGCCATAGCCAGAACTTTTGGACATGGCTTTATTTTTAGGAAGGCCAAGACTGTTTGATATTTCTTGCTGTTCTTCTCATAATGCCTTGTAGTCTCTGTCATAATATGAGAGGTACTAAAATGCACAACTATAACATGACTGTAAAAACATTAGTCTAAAGAACTTGTTGTTTGAAAAAGTTAAATCAATTAATCACTCAATCAACTGTCAATTCTTCAATCAATTTTTTCAACACGTAGCCAATCATCAACTAGGTCATACATTGATTCATTAAAAATCTATCCATTGATCAGTCATTGATCATGCAAGTTACCAATTGATTGCTGTATCAGTAATGAGAAATATAATGATTTTCAAGTCACAAAGATATGACCCACCTGCGTTCCTCAGAAACTTGTGGTTATAATCAACGATGACTCGGGTGTTTGGGTTATAGAAGCCATCCCCGGTGTCATAGCAACCCTCTGGAATGTCTCTCGGTGGGATGCGATTGGTCAGCTGAGAGCGGCCTGGAATTGAGACAAGGCCAACAGAAAGTTGTTTAAACATGACTTACTGGCAAAAAAAATTCAAATCTGACTGTCAGTGCAACAAGAAAGAAGTAGGTGACTGCATCGGCTTGTTTTAAACTACTGTTACACAGATTTAAACCTGAAACTACCGGCTGACCAGAACACATAATCTGTGCATCTGTAAGGCTATGCAGATAGGTCAGCTAGCTTGTGCCAAGTGTACAAATAGCTCTATTGGTAGAGCATCTGTGTGGAATTCAGGTCTTAGGTCCAAATAACACTCCATTCAATTGCTTTGTTGAACTTAAGCATGATTAGAAGTAATACTTGTCAGTAGTTTGTTATTTATTTGGTGATCTGGTTTTGGTCAGGGTTGGGGTCAGTTTGTCGATACTGACCTGCTGGTTTCAGACCATCGCAAATCTCAGTGAAGAACCTCCTGTCGTAGCCGTCGCAATACAGCCACTCCGGCTCGTCGAACTCCAAGCCGTCCGCAAACGTGTACTTCCCCTAGATTGTTACACAAATAGAAATTGCACAGATGTGGCCTCAACACTGACGAGGTGTAGGACCTGCAAACGTTAACTTCAATTCAGGCTCTGGCTTGTTTGTATTCTCAGTTTTAACAATCATTTGGAAGCATTTATTGTCAGAATCATCAAAACATAAATTCTAGTACAAACAGGGTCTCATGATTGGCATTTGGATGTGTTCTGATGCAGAAAATGGACTGGTACTGTTCTTGAATTTTCCCCGTATTGTGGGCCTGAGATAAGTGTTGTAGTCGAGACCACTTAAGATCTTCACAAGACCAGCACAAGACCAACCTAAGACCTCACGTCTGAATTCAAGTCACAAGCTATTCAGACTGATTCAGACAGATTGTGAACGGCATTAAAAGCATTCCTTTACCATTGGTCACTTGTCACTGGTCTCTTGCATGGTCTTGTGTCTGGTCTTGTGATGGTCTTGACTACAACACTGTGTACAACCCGAGTGATGGTGAATCCTAGCAACTGCACATGGCTAACCATGTTGCATCGGAATACCAGGCGGCAAATATCAAACAAGAGCATGGGAAGGAGGCTCTTTTAAAATCCAGGATTAGTCTTTCAACCACTTACATCCACAGCAATTCCATTCTCCCACTTGGCCACATACTTGCTTCCGTTGGGGAAGTACAGTGTTCCTTGCCCATGGAACATTCCATCCTTCATTTCTCCCTCGTACTTGGTGTCAGTTGGAAAGGCATACTTGCCTTTTCCTTCCATCCTGCCAAGAAATTAACAGCCACACTCACACTAAGTATCTTACGGTATCAGTGCTAGGATAAATTCTCACGGTCAGGATGACATCACTGAGTCTTATTTCTTCTCTGTGCTTGGTCAATTGGTGGCTATTCCATATTTCACACTCGAAATTCAAAGGGGCAAAAATAGTGTTGTGGTCTATGGGTAAATCTGAATTACTGACCATTAAACTCTTAACCTTTACATCAGATGTGCCTGAAATTTCACTATTTATGCCCTACGAATATCTCCCGCACTGTAACGAAAGGTTTCAGCTATTTATGTCATGTTGCAGCAAAAAAGGAGGAAAACAGACAAATCCCTGTAGGCCTACGAAGTGAACAGAGAGTTGCCCCTTTGTCCAGACGTGAGTGCAATAGGCCTAGGCTTGATATTAGGTCTAACCTCAACCGCGAGAATCTCTTTTCTCTCAATTCATCTTCATAACTCGTTATCAAACATGGCTGTTGCTATTTTTAGCTGTTTTATTCTTTCCTTTTTGACCATTTTTAGGCCCCTTGTGACTTTTTCAGTGTCAATGTGATCGTGAAGACTTAGGCCTAAATTTAGGCCTTTGGCCTAACATTAATATCACAACTTCCCTTGCTACGTGTTTAAAACCACTGGTGTAGTACTAGTAGTACTAGCCCAGGTTGGACAATGTCTACATTGCATTGCGACTAGTGTCAAGGGTATAAAAGTCCTCCTACTATGCGAAATGTTTTGCAACATATGTTACACATATGTGATATACGGACGGAGCGATAAGATACTACATGTACCAAAGGACGTTTCCAAAACTTTGGCAGCAGTTTAGATGTCTTGACATGGAACAGCCATCGAGACAATGAAGGGTCAAGTGACGTAATGTTCAAGGACCTTATTTTAAAGATGGCGACTGAGAGAGCGAGCCTGTGAGATTGAATGGATTAAGGCAAAAAGACTGGAAAATACCTGAATAACGTGAGTGAAATCATTCAATAAATGGTTTTTAGAAAGCGGAAAGGTCAAGGATAATGTCCGTGTGCAAAAGAAATTGCGCCCACGATGATAAGTGGGTGCGCCGAAAATGTTCAGTACGCCGACACGAAATTGCGTATATGGATGTGTGGCTAAGGATGAATCGGGAGTCAGAGTCCGTGCCAGTAGTATTAGTGGAGTAGTGGGGCTACTGTTAGGCCTACTAACAGTAACATCAATAGACTGCTTCATTGTTCTGGAATAATGTAAATCGAAAGAAAACAAATCTAATGTCGCATGGAACCCATCGGTTTTTGATACTTAAACAAAAATATCACTTATTTCACCAAAAAGCGTAAATTACCGTCCATTTTTGTAGTCACCTTCGTAGCTACTGCCGGTATACTCCATGATGTTTGTCTGTTGTCATGACGTCATAGCACATCATTTCTCTAATTCTACTATTTGTATGGCAGTATTAGGTCCAGATGCGTCGTAGGATTGAAAAGATAGTTATATAATAGAGGGCGCTGCAATTCGAGTTAGCGACTGACTGACATGTGGCCGCGTGGTATGTATTATGTTCACCGATTTTTTTGGGGGGGGGTCTTGAGTTTGGAGGTTTTAGTTCAGTAAAAATCATTCATATCTTTATAATGCTAGAGGAAGCCAAGGAACAGCTAAATGCAATCGAAGGAAAGATGGAAATATTTCATTTTAACTCTACAAGCTGTTTCAATTTCAGAATCAGAAGAGATTTGAAACTTTTCATGGTAGCGGTATCAAGTAAACTTAATAGGTTTGCGGTAGCACCATGGATATATCTCTTTTTTGAGTACGTGGGGTTCTGAAAAGAACCGGTGGTACTCAACGTTTCGGACAGTTTGCTCTGTCCGTCGTTGGGAGGCTGCAGAGGGTCAAGTGATGAGACAGCTTATAAGGTGTGTAGATAGCATGGAGGTGTGGAGAGGATGCTAATTTTGGATCCAATTGAGTTACGCAGACCAGAGTACACTGAAGGTGTGCAAAACTATGGGATACATTTTCTTTTCATTATCCAAATAATGAATGTAATGAATGTGTATACAAGTGAGGGATGGATGAAACACCGTGCGATCCACCGTGCGGAATGGAACGTTCCATTTCTGTAATCTGGCCAGGTTCCGTGTGTTTTGACCAATGTTTTATAGCACGTGATCGACGATCCAATAATAAGATAACGGGGAGGAGAAAGCTGTTTTTGCTCTGTTTGTGTTGTCATTTTTGGCATTTTGTATGGGCAGATGATCCGTCAGAGCTGTTTGTCTTCTGCAACGAAATCAGCAGCTCAGCCGCGGACATCTCTCGGGGTTTGACCTGGACACTGTGTCTGGAGAACGACTTCTCTGGCCTGACCGTGCCGCCCGAATGCGCTGCTCCCGTGGCCGTGTCCAGGTTGGTCGGGTACTTGAATGACGCCCAACTCGCCAGGCAGTTGTACTGTTTTCCTTCTTCATTGCTGTATCTCTGCATTCCTTAAAACGATTTTGTTCAGAGAGAGAGAGGGCTAGGCTAAAAATTGTTCATTTTGTGAGGACTCGATGTTTAAAAATATTGGGATACTCGGTGGAGGGAAGGCCTGTGCTGTAATTTTTTACATAAAATAAGCACAGATCCAGCAATTTATCCAAGGACTGAGGGAGTCACGCCCTTCCGATTTTTGTTATTAATTTTTAATTGTTGCGGACAGACGACACATGCTTAATCCATTACATTGTTTTTGATGCACTGACCTATTTATCCACGTAGTATAGGGTGTTATTTTTTCTTATTATAGTTGTTATTCCAATGTTTGATTACGTACGCGTATTTTGGGTTTTAGAGTGGGAGTGAATCCCAAAGCCGACTCTATAGATCTGCGCCTGTAAAATTATTAACCAAAAACTTAAAGCCGTTTGCCGGATGTAGTTGTCTCGATCTTGATGTCTCTGGTCTCTCGAGTTTTACTAGACCCAACTAAGCTCAAAAAGGTGATTGTCTGTTTTCCTCGAAGTTTTCATTCACTGAGATAAATTAAGCACATCTCTCCCTTTTCATATGGATGTTATGTAATGTTTCTTTCCGTGATTTTTAATATGGCTTTCGACAGTTAGTTGAATTCCTCAGTGCCAAAACAGAAGATCGACGTTTGATTTATATCCAAATTTAACCTTGGTTTTTGCGTATGTGTCGTGTGCTATTCAATTTATCGGGGTCAAATATTGACAAGACGATATTCCACCATGTAATTAAGTATTTAAGCGTCAGTTGGTTAATACAGCACTGCGATTTTCTTCACAATGCAGTTTAATCTCACTGAAAAAATACAAGTCATTTTAAATAATATCAGCATCTTACATTGACGTCTTCATTGTGAAGATTGTCCGAATATATCATTTCATGATGACATTCTACACAGAGCTATCTCTCATTCCGCGAACTGACAGATCTAAACTAACCAATGAGAAGACGTAATCACTATAAAAACTATCTGTGCTTCCAAGCGCAAGTTATTCCCGTCAAGAAACTCAAAAAAGGAAGCACAATTTCAGAAACAACACCGACGAACTTTAAAAATGAAAGTAGTGTTTACCACGCTTACAATAATCGTACTCCGTGAAGTCATACATCACCATACAGTACCGTGCGTACATTGTACCATTGCCTACAAGTTAATTGTCTGCAAAGAGATTTCAGTCAAAATAAGAATAGAAACGAGTTAAATTTGGAGAAAACACACCATTTTCATCAAGATGTGAATATTAAAATGAAGGGAAGCCTCTTAATGCTGATTTGGGCAAACTATGAGGTTTGGAACGAGTCCCTTGTATCACTCTCACTAAAAGAAAGAACGATGAACATCAGAATGTTTGTGATGCTGGTTGCAAATCTGTGGATTGAACCCTCAAAAACCCGTCCACTGTCTTTAGCTGACATTATGCGTGAACTCACGTCACCCATGCATGCTGCCCGGATTATTTGGCCACGAGCCCCTGTATACAGTGCGTGTATTATACGGAAGCGGCCATCCCATCAGGTGGCTAGATCTATTCCCCGAATTGACGCGGTGTTTCGCCTAGCCTTGCAGGCCATACAATATTTGGACATTTTGGACCCTCTTTGCTGTATACTAAACGGGTATGATGATTGCATTTGGATTGTCATTGAAATTTTAATCGTCTTTTTCTAGAAGGCCTGTGCCTTTCAGCTCCTAAAATCCCTATCTCAAGCGCGCACCCTATCTCCCCCAAGGGTTTTCTCGAACCATGCATTGTCCTTTTCCCTTGAGCAGATGGCGATGGAATTCCCCACCCATCCCTTTTCACCCGGTTAAAAATCCATTTCTAGATCAATGTAAAAGATTGACGCAACCTTGCGGTGCTCTTATTGGGGGTGGCGGAGCCAAACCTAAGGGTGCTGACTGAAATTGGACCAACATCGATTGGTGCTTGTGTGTATGAAATCTTAGTCGGCATTTTGCAGCCTATAGCGGAACGGGCCATCTTAGAGGTTTTTCACCACGGTGGATGCGCGGTACTTCCGCCTGAACTCGTCCGTGTCGTCGGCCGCGAAGATGGGTCCCAGCTCTCCGTGAACGTACAGTGTCTCGTCGTGGCGATCTTGATCGATGAGCATCATCAGTGCACTAGCAACAATGTTGGGTCTGCAGTAAGACAAGAATCTAATAATTATGCGCCTAAATTGTTATTTCTGCTAAACTTTTTTTCACTTGGCTGGCGTGGGTCTCAACTTGAAACTCGTACTAAGACGTACTCCTTTGGGGCCAGGCAAGTATCCCAGGGGATGTGGAAGATTGAGGCCAGGCAAGTATCCCAGGGGATGTGGAAGGGAATACTTACGGTTTTGTCTTAAGCTTAGTTAAAGTGATTGTGGCGTGTTGTTGGACCTTCTCCTCGGCTAGAACGGCGCTCGACATCTCGTCCCCCTCCATAGGGCACGGGAGAAAGACGTTCACACGAATCTTCTGCGCCTTAGCAACGGGGTCATATTTCTGGAAAAGCAATCATGGCAACATAAAAAATGCCAGGTTGAACAAAAGGATTCTGGTCCCCCCACCACTTTCCTATGTTTAGATATTTATATCCTGACAGTCGTTCAATACTAAAGTGTTCAGAAGAGGGCCGGGGAGGCTGTGGAATGTTCGACAGTTCGTAAGTTTGCCTGTGTTCTGGAAATCGTGGCTTGGCACTTACCGCCACGGTCTTGGTGTAGGCAAGGACGGCAGCTTTGCAGGCGCTAATGATGGGTAAGTAAGGAGCCAATGTCATCGCTGTTGAAGAGAGAATGGATAAAAAGTTTGTGCTACCTCAACGACCCGATAGAGTCAACTGGCTGAGATGTAGACTGTTTCCGATCAAATCATTTCAGGATAAGACGGGGGCTGGAGTGTCAATATCTCAATTTTCCAGCTGGAGTTTTAAACTGTCAACTTATGGAAAATTATAAAATAAATTGTTTCACCTTTGTTGCCAAATTTAACCGTGTTATAACTAGTCCCAGGAACTGGTGAAAATTTCTTACCTGCTACTGACGTAACATTGACGAGAAGTCCATTGGGTTCAAGATACTCAAGCGCCAGTCGGGTACCGTGGATCACGCCATGCTGAAACATACAGAAACAGAACGTAATGCAGGTTGTAAGCTGTGAGACTCGGAAAAGATGATCCAGGGTAACGCATTTAAATTCGCGTAAAGTTTTCAAGTGAGTGTTAAGATAGGGGAGTCAGGTTGGTGAAGCTAATGGTTCTTTCTTAGCCTTCCACCTCTGCGGTCCGGGTTCGATTCCCGGCTCGGTCAACACGTGGATTGGGTTTTCAGTCCCTACCTGATTCCGTCAGTTTTACCAATACCATTCCTGTGGGGTTTTCCTTCCACCTCCAAAAACTGTAACTGCTTCTCATTGTCTCCACTCTACAGGTTTCTTCAATTAAGGCTTGCGAGCTACAGGGCCTATGGGGCGCTAAATTGAGGAATCCTTGGTGTCATTACCAGAAATAAATAATACTAATAACAGTTGTCTGTAATTATTATCACAAACATCATTCGAGACTCAAAAAGACTCGATTACTGCTCTACCATTTATCACCACAATCACCATTATTCATCACCCTCAAATCACCACCACCCCCCCCATATGTACCACCATGCACCATGGCAGGCACTTACCAGTGAGACTTGTACCGTATTCTCCCACTTGATCTCGTCCCAGGACGAACCACAGTTGCAGACCACGTCCACTCGCTCAAAGCGGGCCTTTGCCTCCTCGAAGCCCGCTTTCATGCTGGCCTGATCCGTGATGTCGCAGGTGTAAAGCATCACCCGCTCTCCGCCGAACTTCTCTACCAGCTCCTTGTTGATATCGTTCGCCTTCTCAGACCCAAGGAAAACCACACCCTAAACACCAAACAAATAGCCTAAATCTGAGCTTGTATGTTAGTAGTTAAGGAATGTTAATGATTTACAGCCAAAGCTGCACTGTTAAATAGAAAAATCCAAGACTCTTTTGCATATCATTTGGTCATCCCAAATACTTTTTAAATACACATTATGGAATATAAGAAGCCCCTAGATCAATTTGGAACATACAGTTGCTCAGTTTGTTATTCAGTGTGGACCGGCATTCTTGTGAGACCTGTTTGGAAAACTTACAAGGAAAATATACTGAATCAGCATTTCGATTCGAATTCGGTTTCACATGTCGCACCCAAATGTATGGACACCGATAGCCTTTTCCTGAATTCGAAGCAACAAGCGAACAAATCTCACGCAAAACAATCCAAGCCCCGCCCCTAAACTGTAACAATTTTCGAGAACTATTTAGTTTCATCTAAAAATAGCACTTCGATTCTTTTTCACGCAGTATGACTTAGTCTTCTTTATGTCCAAAACATTTTTTTATGGGATGGTGTTTGGGGACGGGGAACAACTTAAGTTCTCATATTTCTTGGGCGCGGTGGAGTAGTAGATTTGCATGTCCAGTGAAAAGCGTGAAAATGTATCTGTAATGGATCTAAACAGAATAACCGAGGGCGCTGTTGCTATGATGTTATCTGGGAAGGCATGATACAGTCCAGAGGTTTTTCTGTTCAGTTTTGAATTCAGAAACAGAAACCTAAAATTTAAGCATGAAAACATTTCTGAGAATGAGTTACTTGCTTGCTTACGTAGTTACACAACATTGAATCACCAAAGAAGAGACAATTCAGGCCAGCTAAATCTTTAAAATGCGTTTTGTGTGTGTTTACAAAACAATGTAACATTTAGGTCTTCCTCCTAGGATTACATGACAGTTTTGATTATGAAAATTAATATGGAAATTCATTTGCATAAAAACCAAAAAGGCTGTCAAAATCCTTTGGAGTTGTGAAACAAAATTGAAAATGGGGTTATCTGAGACACAAAGGTGCATTTTGAGGTTTGTATATTTAAAAATTCAACGCCTTTCATCAAAAACTGATGTTGGATTTATCGGTGAAATTAATGGCTTCTTGAAGAGATCGTAAAAGCTTCACATTGACAAAGTCCGTAAGATGACATCAGCCTAAATCGGACAATTATAACTCGAACGCTTCGAAAGTTTTATAGTTTTTCTGGTACAAACCTTTGCTCCTTTCTCCAGTAAGAGTGTGCCGAAGGCTGGGCCAAGGAGTCCCTCGCTGCCAGTGAGCAGCGCCACTTTATCTTTTATGTTGATTGCCATGGCGACGGCGGGTTAAAAATTGTCTCAAGGTCTCAGACAAGGAGAAAAATGGGCGGGCTACTTCTTCACCCAAGATGGAGGCTGCACAGGCTATATGTTGTAGAAAATCATTCAGTGCAGAGGTGATCGGTGTGAACTCAAAAGATAATTTTACCTGATATCGCCTAATCACTTCTGCACCCTGAACCTTCACTGTTAGTTTTGCAATCAAAGCGTAACAAAGAAGCAGCCGTTTAATACAATTAAGTTGTGTTTGCACCAATGGTGACGGAGCAAAGTCTCTAAGTTCTTTTATGCTTATCAACAGAACCAAAAATCTGGGATCTGACCTGCCACCCGCCTCATCATCTTAACTCTATGATCGCACCAGCGCTTAGACATGCTGAACTTTGTATCCGAACCTGCGCGATAGCAAAACAAAAATGTTGTCAACCAGCTGCTTTTGTGTCCCTGAAAAGCTGCAGCAGTATGAGACAGAAAAGCACTCTTATATGTCAAAAGGATGTTAATCGACTCTCTGCGAATCATACGCATAAGAGATGTCCAGAAATTTCACTGGTTTCACCAGCGCTGTCCTCTAATCTTACGTAACCCAGCACCGTCCCATTTCCTGAAGAAACCTTCACATTGACAGTATCATTTTGCTGGGTAATGTCCATGATACTTACCTTTAACAACACAGGAAACAAAATTAGGGTTCTTTCGGGTGAATTAAATCTAAATATAGCACCAGAGGGTTTACATGAAAATGCCCGTTCCCGGCTAGGAGCGTATTACCATAAGTGCAAATCCAGGATATTTTTTATAATAATTTTATTCTGGTAAAATGACCATTTCCAATGAGGCTGCTGATGAGTTTTATCACATCAGCACAGTTTTATTTGTAGGTTTTACTGAAATTGAAGGGGCTGGGACCCAGTTGTCCCAAGTGTCGATGTATTTTTAACTGTCCAACTTCAAACCATGTACATGTACTACCAACGTAACCCAACAATCAGGTTAATGTTAACTATTTCGTGACATATATGAATTCCTGTATTTGGAAATGCACGTAGCAGTGTTCCACTCAGTGGTGGTAATGAAACAGCCGTTAGCATTGTGACAAACAACTTAATTAGGAAGAACAACCGATTCATCAAAAAAAAAAAGGAAAAAAAAAGAGAAGAAAATAGAAATAAAGTGTTTCTCAAGCAGTTTTGCATTCGTCTCAAGTTAAGTTTGAAAAATTCTTTCATTTGGTGATTCACTACCGATTTTCTGACTAATAATGTACAAACGTTTCAAGCAGTCCGGAAGGGGACGTGACGTCAGCACATTGGCATTAGCGCAAGCGGAAAGTCATGAAGGTGATGACTCTATCCTATGCGCATTGAATGCTTTTTATAATGTAAAAATATTCCATTTAAACTTGTGGGATGCGGTGGAACAGTTAGAGAGCAGATGTTTGTATCTCTGTTAATATTTGAGCAAGTGTTCATTGGAAACACACGGAATGTTGTGGTGGTCGTCTTAAAGTGAGGCAGCAAGTCAAGTCAATTTAACGTGCCCCCACGACACGATCAGGTGAATTTGGTTCAGCGGGCGGCTACACCGTACTCGGCCGTGTGAGACGGCAAGTGGACGACGCGTCCGTACGGTCATCGCTCTTAGTGCCTCGGACATGCTTGTTAGCATGAACTCACGAATCACATTTGCTGGTACTTTGTTTGTGGTCTGCCTTTCACGGACATGTGTGGGTGCGTCCTTTCCTGGTGATGGAGTAAATAACACGCCGGGAAATGCATCAGGTATGTAGGCTTTCATTTATCTGGAAAATGTCTCGGGGGGGGGGGGCGCTAGTAGTAGTACTACATGTACTAGGCCTAGTACCAGCAGTAGACTTTCGAATGTTCACAAAACAAAATGGCTGACGTAGTTCTTGTGCGGGTAATTATTGTGACATTCAGACGTCAGTTAAGCCAGGTGAAATGTAGACAGAGGAAAGAGGAAATAGTAGGCTTCTGCAGATTTTTGTATTTTTAATTTTTTTTGGAAAGAGTTTCATAAGGACGTTATATTTCACATGTATCTGCTGCACAATGCCGATGGTATTAAAATCAGCCATCAACATCAACAATCGATAACATTTAAAAACATGTCCTAAAATAAACGTCAAATTTAGCAGGGAAAATATTGCAATGTTTGAATAATTAGAAATACTAAAAATTTTTCCTGTGTTTTGGGTTTATGCAAATAATGTATGGGGAAGAGTTCCATATATAAGGACATCACACCCTATGCACTGCGCACAAACACTATGAGACTGTTCAGAAAAATTTTAAAAGTTTTCTACAGGAATACATCAATATTTTCCTGCTAAACATGACTTTAAGTTTAAGATCATCTTCTTGCTTCTAGGTGGCTAATAGGTACGGTAGGGAAAAATTGGTGGTGTCCATACAATGTATATAAATGGAACTCTTTCCTTTGAAATTTCTTAGCCCACAGTTGATAGTAGAATACAGTGTTCCTGCCTTTCTCTTTTCTCTACAGACTGTAATCATGGTATATGCAATCCAGTAGGCACCCTTAATGTGACGTGCAACGACACAACAGCAGACTGCCTTTGCAGAAATGGCTATGAAGGCCCAAACTGTACGGATTGCCAGAATGGTTACTATCACCATAGCAACAAAAGTGCGGAGTGTGTTCCTTGCCAATGCGACGAGGGAGGGTCCTTGAGTAGCAGCTGTGACAGGTAGCCAACAAAATAATCGCCGACTTTATAAGACACCATAGAACCACATCTTTACGTCCAACTGTGACATCAGTCCCAAATGCATTTTTAATGATCCCAAGTTTTCTTCTGTTGTTGGGCCTGTCTATTTTAAATTGCACCACCTTGCACATTTCTTGTGGCCTATGTCCAGCAGAATTCATTATAAAGTAGGCCCATTTTTAACATCCCTAAAATAAAAGCTAGATTTTGTCAACACACAGTGCTGATCTTGAAGACTTCTTCGTCTTCATGCCAGACTTTGGACCCGATATCAGATCAGACCTCAGTCATGACTAGGAATGGGAGGAGGGGCAAGTGGAATGTTGATGGGAGGATTGCAGTGCTCATGCAGTGCCTACGGATCGAGTTACCCTATTGAGCATACACCGGCGCTCCCCCGTTATAGTCACTTCCCTCAGGATGTTGGGCATTTCCCCCATTTCCGCTCCGAGACCCATCCCTCCTGTTGCTTGTCTCCAAAGCATTGCATGCAATTCAGAAGAATTTTACTCAAATCTGTTAATTTTAGAGGCAATATTTAAATGGTTGCACCTAAAATGACCGGTGGGGGAGGGTCTTGTAGATTATCAGGAAAGTGTTTGGGTAACACTTTAGCTGGAGAAAGACTCAGGCAGAGTTGCAAGTGTTTTATCTGTCAAGAGCAGTGTGTGTCAAGAGGTTGATAAAGGCATGGTGTGAGGCGAAAACTTTTTCAGAGGGTTTGAAAGTAGTTAATGTGGACTTATGACATGATTACACAGTTGGAAATGTCGGGGGAAAACTCTCCAGAGCAAACTCTGTGGAAAGTTTGTTTGCTAACAAAAACACATTTATCTACCCATCTCCAAGTGAGAAGCCAAAGCAGTTTGTTATTGAAGTGTGAAAGAGAGAAAAAGAAAATCAGGTTTCTTCCGAAATTAGATTAGCCCAAATCCTTCCTGTCTGACACCGAAGAGGAAGGATTGCCTTTCAGCATGCTGTCTCTTCAATAGAGGCTTTGTGTGGTAGCCGTAATGCAGGGCAGTTCTTTTGTTCCACAGAGAAACCTCCTTTGTGCATTCCTGTGGAACAAAAGCACTGGCCTGCAAGATGGCAGCCATGCAAACCCTCTGTTGCTGTTGGGAAATGATGAGAAGATTACTGAAAAATAATCAATAATAAATGGAAAAAAACAAAAGATACACAAAGGAAAAACAGAAACATACACGTACATGTATGTAGTGTTAAGTCCTAGTAACGCAGCCTAGTCCCTGGAACAAGATGTCAGGAAATTTACGCATGTGGGGTTTCATAGATGCCCACGGGAAATGATCACCTACAGGAAATGTGTCCCATATAGATAAAAACAAACCTTATGTTGTGCTTGCAACTTGGAAGTTTGAGTCCAGAGTCCCAAGGGATGGGAAAATTATGGAGACTTTTTTTTCTTCAACTGTAATCCCATCCAACGCATCAGGGCTACCCTGGATGTCTAATTTCATTTGGTAGGTAATCGGTGCCCCCTTTGGCACAGTCATTGGTTACCGAGGGATTCTGGTAGGCTCGAGTTATCTGTCACCCGTCAACACCCAGCAAAGTATTTTGACGACCTGCCCGACAGAATGTGAATGCACGTCAAACTTATGACCAAGGTGTATGTGGCATCTGAGACATATCCAGCCCATGGCAAAATGTGCAATTTATCTAGATACCCATGCGTTCAAATTCATAAAGTGGAACTTGACAAAACTCTGGTTCAAATTAGCAGAATTCAGCAAATCAGCAAAATACTTATTAGCATGTTGTACTTTGAAACCCTGTTCCTTGCTGGATCCCTTGAAGGTTCACTCTATATTTCGCTGATCCACTTTAAATTTTAATCCCGTTTTAAAATTTGTAATATAAAACACTTAGGTAGCTAACCACTTGATCAAGTAGTACGGGCACACCTGTGTTACATGTATTTATAGACTGCCATTTTTCACCAGTCCGGAAGAAGTTGAACTCTTCAAAACTCCTTTTCAAAATAAGGTTTTGGAGGATTTTGCTGGATTGTGGAAGACAAGACTAGCCACTATTACTTTACATGGGCCATTGGTTTCCTATACAACAGAGGATTTTTGAGGATTCAGGAATATTCCAATGCTATACCAAAATTGGTTACGAACCTAATTTTGGGGGTTATGCACTAAATGTAAAAAACGTGGCTTTCTTATCATTTGTACAAGTTGGGGAGGGCCTGAAATGTTCTCAGCAGAATTTGTCTTTTGGGACATGAAGAAATATACTGCTAGGATTGAAAAAAAAAACCGAGGATTTTGTGTCCTTTCTAAATTTTGTTTTCTTATTTTTTTGGTAGATTTGGTGCCTGCTCATGCAAGCCAGGAGTTGGTGGGAGACAGTGCAACCGGTGCCTGAGTGGGTATTACGACCTCTCAGCCAGTGGATGCCAGCGATGCACCTGTGAAGAAATTGCCATCAGTTGCCTTTACATATCCAGAGGTGAGGGCCTATGTGATCTTTGACCTTGCTGCAGTTTTCCCTCCACTTGCAATCCTGCCTCGACCCTTCTCCAAACCCCCGTTTCATTTATGGGTCTGGAACTCCAAATCATTTTTCCCAGTGTGAGCACTGAACTTGTGGAACATAAGCCTGAAGCCGAATGAAGCCGTGATTTTGATAAAAAATTCCTTGAAATGGAAGGCATGAACATCAAGGAACTAGATAATGATCCAGTTTTCTGGCTTCCATTTCTGTCTTCTTGGAACTGAGTAATTCTCAAGTGGGAAGTAACTGAATGGTACCACCGAAAGGCTGCTGAAAAACATACCAAGAAATACACTTTATCTACAGGGTTACCACTGTCATGGAGAACCCCGGGAAAATATTGTTCTCAAGGGTCACAGAAAAGTCATGGACAATTGAGAAAAAAAAGAGGGCGTTCCAGAATCCTTTAGTCAAAGGAAAAGTCACAAACATTTAGCACGTCCATCTCAGCTCATGCCCTGCTATGCCATTCACACAGGACGTGCATTCAGTCCTGCTGGACTCATAGGCTGAGTTCGGGCGGCTTGTTCTCGTTTGTTCACGAACAGCTTGATTTGTTGTTCGTGGGTCGGTCGCTCGTACGCCGGGAATGTACAACCGGTTATTAGCGCTAGTAGTTATTTGTGGCAAGCAACATGCAACATGGCAGCGTCCTTGTGCATTCTTCAAGAGTTAATGTTGGATAACTGGGCTAACTTCTTTTCCATTGAAAAATTAATTTCTGTCATGGAAAATTATTAATGTTAATTTTGCAAAACTTTCCATTGTCTTCGGCTTTGTAAAGCCATATCGGTACTTTTTGCGGCTGTTCAAAAATCAAATCTCACAAGTTTTTCCGTGTGTTCGTGTAAAATCCTGAGAAAGAGGTGGTGTGTGATCCTGTTACGAGAACAGTGTTCTTGGGTTGTGTTCCCGCCGTTCGAGCGTGAGAACACGAAACCCATGTGAAGAACGGACCGCCCGAACTTGACCATAGAACACTACCAGTTCCCGGTTTCAGGTGTTTCAGATTTGGCTCTCCTGTCCTTTGTACAGTCAGAGAATCCCCGCATTCTTCCATGTGCCACAACTGCCTTCTCAACAAGACTTGGGTCCATGAGTGCACAAAGACGGTGTGCGGACCCGATGAATACTTGCTGTCAGACGGGATCTGCACGCCGTGTCAGTGCAGCCAATCACAGGGCTCCTCCGGTGAGCTACGACACTGCGACCTCATGACCGGGAAATGTCCGAAATGCGAGGGCGAGTCCTGCCCAACCAAAGGTGAGTGTCAATCACCACAAATGCTCGGCTACATCCTGCTTCCTGTCGCATACTATCTACATGTATGCTATGTGTAGAATTGAGGGCATGTATTGGTGAAATGGTCTATCATCTGTGAGTGTGAACTGCTGAGGGAGCTGTGCTGCCTCTCACAGTTGCCCTGGTATAACACATCGGTTGGAATGTGAAACTGGTTTTAGGACATCAAAGTTGTCTTGTCCAGGACAAGCAACACATGGCATTTCTGACGAGTTACTGACTGGGTAAATGTAGCATGGCGTATATCAAAGTTAACCTTTCACATACAGGCTCATTTCTCAAGGTGCCGGCCATTTTTTTTGTGTCTCAGGAGGCAGCTCAGATTCAGGTCATTTCCAGTACCGAGCCTACATCATTGCCAGTGGTGCCGTTGCTGGCCTCATTGTACTCATCCTTGCCGTCCTTCTCACCGTCTACTGTCGCCGACGCTGCCGCAGGCACACCCAGCGAACGCCGCTGCCCCTCTGGACCATCGAACTCCGACGAGATGACGAGGATGAGTGCAATGCCACCCAGGAACTGGCTTTCGATGACATGGAGGTCATGTACCTGGACGACTCCTACCTGATGGCACCATCCTCGGAACACCTTGCTGAGTCCTCAGACAACATTATCCGCAATGGGAGGGCTGGCTACCACACACTGCGTTAGTAACCCAGGATATGGCCTTTGAGGACTTGGATGTCATGTACCTAGATGATTCCTACCAGATGGAAATTGCCTCAGACCACCGTATGGAGTCCTTAGACAATGTCTTCTGGGGCTGGTTACCACACGCTGAACCAGCAACCCTGGAGCAGGCCCCCTGGGACTTGGGCATCTTGTGTCCAGACAATTCCTACCTGATGGAACCGTCCTCAGATTACCTCCTGACTCCTCTCATTGCTTCTCTGAGTCTTCCACATGCATGGGAGGACTCGCTACCACACACAGAGCTAGTAATTAAGATATTTAAGTTTAAATTTTACTCCATTCTGATAAGCCAAGAATGCCTCAGGAGTGCCAGAGTAGCTGCGGCTTTTAACCCTTAAAGAGGGGGTTATTTTGTACCATCTCACAGCCAGGGGGAGATGGATTTTACCCACAAGAATTTGGCTGTCCAATATTCGAGTTTTTAAGAACTTGACACGCATGTAGAGATATCTATTATCGGTGCATCTGTGAAGTTCCAACTCAGTCCATCTTAGGGTTTTGTTATTGCGGTCACTTGAAGTTCAGTGTCCCATACATGCCAGCCGGCATGCTTTGAGCACATCAGTAGAAAAGTATACATTTTTAGCTCAGTTGACCTGCCGCAGGAAAACGGGCACTGCATCTGTACAAAAACGGCATGTCCGATTTTCACAAAACAGATGTTAACATGACTGCAAGAATTTACTTAAAAACTTCTGAAGGCTCAGCAGTTGAAGGAAAAACTTGTGTAACAATGTGATGAAAATCCTTTGGCTCTTTCCAGGCTACGCTAGAAGAAAATTGTGGTGAGAAAACAAAACACCCATGTTGAATAAGGTTAACAAACCTTGAGTTGAGCCTTTTAGCAAACATTATAGAAAGAGGTAGCTCAAAAGCCTATCAAAATGTTGGCCATGGCAGAATTTGAACTTACCTTACACAGTGGAAGATACCTCTGGAAGGAGCACCACTGTGCCAACCCACTTTTTGTCAAAATATGTTTTTTTGACAAAGAAGTCTCCAATCGAGGCCGGACCTTTGTACTCATTTAAAATTTTTTTTTTGTATTGTAGCAATAGAGTTTTCAAAGGAGTATTATTGCACTATTGTATAAAACTGCCATCAATATCAACAAACATTCTGTCCAAGTTTTCATTCCGTGCCAGCGCTTGTTAGGAAGATGCACGTAGGAAGTCTGGGTGGATTCCAAATGTTTATGCAAATGAGTAGCTAATATGCAAATCCATGCAATTTTCCGCGCATGATCTCACCAAATCTGAATATTTTAATGCAAAGAAAACTGCACGTGTAAGAATGTGGTAATTTTTTTGCCTGTTGAACTATTGCTTGCCTTTGCACAGAAATTTATATTTTCCAGTTGTGTCTGGATAAAAAAATGCACTTCCATACTAATATTTTCTAATGTGATGTGATCATTGTGTTTGTACAAGGTGTGTATATTTTTATGCCAGTTTGTCTTTATGTGTAGTAATTTCTGGTTGTCTTGAATTTGCCACCTGCCGGTGAAGAAAAGACACTGGATAGTTGAATTCTCAGAAATGTGGGAACAAAAAAAATTGCATGGGGACCAATCAAAGATAGTTGGTGAACACTGTATGTGTGTATGCAGCTGGTAATATTGACACAAGTACATGTACAGGTATGGTATGTGGCTGGGCAATATATACCGTGTATATTGACTGGCAGGTCACTAATTGTAAGTATTGAGTCAATATATAATGTAACTCGGGGAAACTTCGCAACTGTGTGGCCAGTGTCTATTAATATGCAAGGGATTCTAAGAGCTGTCCTTTTGAGGCTCCCAAACTGAATGATAATGACCATTTGTAATTTTCATGGCCAACGGGTCATGGCATAACGTAAGTTTTGTATTGTACTGTCTTGTGAACCCAAGGTGACTGCACTTTAGCCAATCGGCAGCAAGAATCAGCTAGAGCTGAGGTATAAATTTAAATTTTAAGTTTAGAAAGTTTACATTTTCTTTCACTGTCCAGCAAGTTTGCTCTTTGAAAAACTGTATTACCAACACAGGCAAAAATATCTCTGTGACGTGCCTTCCCCTCCTTCCCACCTGCCAGCATATTCCAAGCTCCACCCCTTTATTGGTCATTGGGGGTGATTCTTGGAGCTGCTGTTTTCACTCAACAGAATCAGGTTACCAGCCAGAACTTCTATGTAGTTGACTTCTGACTGGTACTCAGCTGAGCCACATTTCCTAGAATGCCTCACAGGGAAATATTTCCATTTTTCTAAATACAGCATTAATTATTCACCGAACCCAAGTTTCGAAGAAAGGACACTGTACATTTGAAGTAAGAGTTGTACAGTAAAAATGTGACCTCTGTGTATTTATGCAACAATCACCGGCAATATGGAGACATGCTTAATAGATTGGACAAACTTTTTGAAGAAATTTTATGTAAATCCAAACTAAAATTATTTATGTCCCTTTTTGTGCTTGGTAGAACCCACCGATTCTAAGGGGTTGTTTGGAGATTTTAAATACCACTCGTTCAAAGATATTGAAATTGTGTGACTTGTAAACTTAATGTGCCACACACACTAACATTAATGTCTACTGTCAGCGTGTACTTTTTAGTTTCAATTTGTGCAATCACATTTCCTTGTCCTGTGGAGAAATGGTCACGTAATCAAGTGTTGTTGAAATGAAGGGATATTTTAGAAAAAGATATTGTAAAATGTAAATATGGAAGCACAAAATGTTTTTACCGGGTAAAAAACAAATCTTGATGTAATATTCAGGTCCTAACAACCCTGGCTGTTTTCCTTGTACATTTCACCATTTTTTTTGCAATATCTACATGTATACATATATGGTATTATGATCTTTCTCTGGCACTTTGAATGCATACATGTACCTGTTCCTGAGACCAAAGCTCTGAATATGTTTTAAACATTCTTTGTGAGATTTAAAAAGAGAAGTTTTTCTGCATAGCAATAACAAGATTTGTGGCTTGTTGGTTGTAAAGCAACAAAAGGGCTGATGTGGTAATATACACAGGAGAAATCACAAGACATTCAAATCCAGGCGATTCTGTTAACAGTGTAAAACTGCAAGCAATGACGAACCATCGCAGAACAGTTTTGTCATGAACTGTTCGGACATCATCCACCATCTGCAATAAATCAGTGTTGTAACGATTCACTAAATTTGGTGACTTGAGTCGAGTCATTAAGTCAAGAACTCAAGTCAAATGGAGTCACTTTGTGTAGTTAAGTCAAGTACCGAGCTCGAGTAAATTTGAGTCTCAAATTTTTGAACAAAATACAATAACCTGCGGGAGCCCAAAACAGATTTGTCATATTACTTGGACAAGCAACTGTATTAACAAATACATGTACATGTTTCAACCGTTCCTTACCAAGCTTAGAGTTTAATTGTTCAGCCATGTCTTGCTTTCTCACAGACAGTGCAAGCACTGCGGTGTATGTAGTTGAACAAAATATTTTGTCATCTACTGTGTACCATCGAATAATGGAACACCTTACGCTCAATTACACTAAACCTTCAACCGATGTCAGAGGAAAACATTTTTGAATGAGCTTGCCAATGATATCCATTGTTGCTTTACTGACTTCTCGGAAGCTGTGAGGTTTCAAAACAAAAGGTCCCTCAGGGTTT